GCAATATTTAGGCCCTCTCCACACAGTTTCATCTTGATCAAAAACGTAATCACATAAAGCTGGAGGGCATCAGAGTCCGAGGCGCGTGTCTTTTATTTTCGTTGTCTTCTTCAGCAGACCTGGGACATAGCACAGAAGAGACTGATTCCTTGATCGTGGGGGGAGGTGGTTGTGAAGGGTGAGGGAAGCCCTGCTGAGACCTCACAGGAGACCCTCCCAAACCCCCAAGTTATGTCAAGTCCCATAGGAGACTGATTTTCACAGGAAAGCATCAGGACTCTCCACTGTGCTCTCTCTTCTCCTCCTCTGCAGGGAATCTCAGAGGAAAGGAGTCTCCTCTGAGGAGAGCTGAATCTAACACAGTTTGGGCCCAGCCTCCCCATTCTCCCAGGTTCCACCCCGACCTGACCTGAACATTACTAAACATATTTGAACAAACAAACCACTGCGCACAGGCTGCTTCCTCTTTTCCTATTACCTGACTTTCTAGCAGACTGTGACATTTACTTCCTTTGAGGTTTCTTGCCTTTCTTCCTTTTCTTAACAGAGCAAGGAATTCTATCTCAAAAGACATAATATTCTATGACTCGCTGTTGATAAATATTTGAGGAGATGCACCCGTGTGTTTATAGAGACATTTGTTAGGGGAAAAATGAAGTTCAGTTTGGTCTTTTTTTGTAAACCTTTTGGGTATTTTATTCACTCACCGAACAAATATTTATTAAGCACCTATTTTAAAAGTATGAAGGCTTTTTCCAGGTAGACCAGAATAAATGCAGCTCTGAGTGCAGATATTTACAATCCAAAACCCACAAAATGCTAACACTGGTTTGTACCAAAATAATTGAGGGAAAATTTGGGGGGGTTGAAGGAGGAATCAAAGTAAATATTTTCAGTGAATTTGTAGAATTTACAAAATGTGTGTTCATTTGTCCTGAGATGAAATATCTGTGTAGAAAACTCCTATGTCCCCAGCATATTCCTACTGCTAAAATCAATCCGTGTTTCAATGCCCAGTTCTGAAGAAATGTGGCTGTCTGGGCTCTGGTTGTTTTCAGACTCCTGAGTTCAAGTTCAGACTGTCACATTAGCAGCTGTGCAGCCCAGAGGTGACAGAATACAAAGGGTAGGACTCTGGTCTGGTTGGTGTGAGGACGCTATATTCTCAGATCTACAAGAGGGAGACTTCCCAGGCTAGAAATACTTAGGAACTCAGAGTCTGAGACCAAGCATAGTGTCACTTAGCCATGATACAGTCTTCTCTTCACAGGCCAACAGAAGTACCCTTTCTCCTAGTGTCCAGGTGGCGCCTCCCTGTCCAGCCCCCAGCTAGGTCTGTGAGTTTATATATTTGGGGATGAAAAGTGGGATCCTGTTTAGATTTTCTACACAGAGCACCAGCATACAAAAAGGAAATTAAAATGGGTCCAGCTGCCATCTTGTTTCCTTTTGAGATGAACATATTTTAAAGAATTTATTTACACTTCAGGAAGGGAAATATCAACAGCAGGGGAAGCTTGATGTTGAGTTTCTTCCTGAGAAACCAGAGATCTTTCCTTGAGTTAGGAACAAATTGTGGAGGAGCTCATGAATGAAGCAGGTTCTGTGTCACTTCAAACACTGTTCCAGCATTCACTGGATGTGTCGGGAGGCCTCTGTGGACCAGACTCTGCCCAGGTCTTTCTTCTTCCATGAGGGCCTTAGCCCATCAGTGCACCAGGTTATGGCTTTGCTCATTTTACAAAGGCAAGGAAGGGGAAAGCTGGCCAAGGTCACTCTGCTAAGGTGCTGGAACTCAAGTCATCTTGCCTGTGACACAGGCTCTTTTCCAGGTCCACTCTGCGGGGACAGCAGCCATGATCAGAATGATGCTGGGAAAAATTCAATTATTTAGAGCTCTAAAAGTTGAGGTTTTTCCATTCTTTACCTGTCTAAATGACATTATTGAAATGGGGAGATTTATTTAGCACTGTTCTGTTGTGTTTCATATGAAGACGGCAAAATTTCTCTCCCATTTTTGTGTGATAGCTTCGTTTCCTCCAGTGGCCTATGGTCATGTGGACATGTGACTAATCTCCCAAACCCTGACACTTTCAAGAAAGAGAAAAAGAATATGATTTACAGCTATACTGAGCAACAGCCAAGAACTGAGACAGACCAGGGTAAATAAAAGGGGAGTCACTGTGTTCTTAGAGCATGTCACAGTGATGGGCAGAGTCACACATTCACTCATTCATTCTGCACGTTCTTCAGTCCCTTCAGCCTGTACTCCCTAGTAGTTTTTTAGTATTTCCACACATCTGCTTCCTCATGCAAAGCTTCCACTGTTTTCACCCTACAGTTGAGTTCCTGTTTCATAAATGACACGACTTACCTTAAGTCTCAGTGTTGGAGAACGGCAGAGCCAAGGAGCTTGGAATCCAGGCTTTAGCTGTGTGCCCAGCTCTGCCTGTGAGCACCGAGAAGGTTTGGTTTGGGGAAATGGACATTTTCCAGACTGAAGCATAGGCTCGATCCTCACGTCAGGGAAGAGTCTTGCTGTCCCTTACGAGGCCCTCTCGCTTTCTCTCTGCACTCCCTGCCTCTTTCTTTCTCTCCCCTTCTTGCCTCATTCTTTCTCCCTAACTTTGCAATCCAGACAAAACGTCAAACACAGCAGTTGTCATCAGTGAATTCACTAAATAGCTGGTAGCTGACCTCTTACATGAAGACAGCGAGAAGGCGGGTATCCCAAGAGTCCTCTGCTTTGTGCCTTGTCTCTCTGCCTTTAGGGCCTCCTCGATGTGTACATGCTTTTGAGTTATAGCCTCCAGAATAATTAATTTTAATGTGTACAGAAGAATCGATGCAGTGGGAAGAAAGCCAATTTCCTAACATGGCATCCTACTTGGCGGATAATTTCTCTCGTTTCAGGCAAAGGACTCCCACTCGGTCGTTAGGTTGCTTAACTGAAGGGCAGAAATCAGAATTATATGTCAAATTATATATATCGGATTATAGAATGGAATAGCAAGGTGGAGGGGAGTGCTGTGGGGTGTCCCTGCCCAAGAATCCAGATCCATCCTATAATGCTTCTTCCTAATTAATTGCCTCAACAGAGTGCGTGCATAGAGAGCAAAAAGGGGCTTGAGAATAATGTTCGTTCGGCACTGGGACAGGGGTTACTCGGAGGAGTGCAGGAGCGGAAAGCCGTTTCTGGAGTGATCTTTGAAGCTGCTGGTTAGTGACAGGGTTCCTTTGGAGGAGACTCTGTATTAAAGGTACCTCTGGTCCCCGCAGCAGCCTGGGGCTGCTTCTATGGATGCCCCGATGGCACCACCTGCTGGTGGTTTATGACACCAAACTCGGGTTTCAAACTCCACGCTGGCTCCGGATCCCCATTCCCCCATGCAAGCCACCATGCTCTCATCCTGCATCTATGATGTGTCCAAATTCATATGCTAAATTGATACCATCAAATGTAAAATAATAACATTATAGTTATTTGAAATTCCGGCTTGCCTATCCTATCACTCTGCATTCTCTTTAACTCTTATCATGTTCGTTAACTAAATATGTGTCTGCTCCACTGGATGGTAAGCGTCCTGGAATCCAGCCTCAGGAAGTGCCTCGTTACCCTGGGTACCTCCATCCTGCCAGGACAGAGGTGGCAACCAGAATACTTCCCATGCTGCCACTGTCACGTTCCCAACCATCCTAGAGGTGGCGCTGTGACCCAGATCACAAAGGAGGAGATTTTCTGAGAGTGACAGGTAGAGAGGCCAGTGTGAGTGCCCGTCCACTCATTTCCTGTGTTGGCTTCTTTTAAGTGAGCTGGCTGCCTTGGGCACCTCCTACTGAGTCCTCAGGGTGATTGCAGGATAATGCTCAGAAGCAGCTCTGACACTGTGGTCACAGAGGAGTCCAACAGCTTAAACCAAACTTCTCCTTGCCCTCCTTCTACTGATGAGATCAGATCCAGCATCTCCCTAGGATTATAATGTTCATTGTTACCTTCTGCTCTTGCTTTGCTGAAACATCATAGGCAAAGCTCTTCCTCATCTCAGTAACAGTGAGGGTCCCCAAACTCTGGAAGGAGGCTGGACTGTCAGCTTTCCCCTAACAGCCATGCAGGTGACCATCGGGGTCTCTCCTTGAAGTCCAAAGCCTCAGGAGACCAGAGATGGAGTGTAGTTCCTGTGACTTCTTCAGAAATCCAGACATCTATCTCAATGCAAGAGCGGAGGAAACTTTCCAGTAATTTGCCTCCAGCCATTCCCCACAGTGCCCGGAACCCACTGAAGTCTTTTTAAAGGAAGCGTGGCCTCCCAGTTAGAGTAGAAATTCCTTGGAGGCAGCACGTTTGTCTAATCTTTTCAATTAAACCATGCTTCATCTCTATTCCATGTCTAGTGGACACTCAATATTTGTTGAACAAATAAACAAGTCTCTATTACTGCCTCTTGGTCAATCAGCATTTCTTTAAAAATTCATGAATGCCATAACATTTCCCAGTGTGAGAGCAAAACATTTTATGAAGTTGGTATAAATTTTCTATTAAAGAGAAGAGTATCTATTTATTAATATTCCCAAAGGGTAGCTTTTTGGTTTACTGCTGTGATACTGTTATAATTTTCCATAATTATATGGTGTTGATTATAGTTTGCCAACTGAGCATCAATAAAGAAACATGTGACCCTGGAACTACATTATTTAAAGTATATAACCTTCCCACATGGAAAGCAACAGTGGGTTGAGGCCAGAGTAGCAAAGAGAATATCCTCCCCCAAAACTGTGAATAGAAAAAACTGAGCTACCCTGCAGGTCGCAATTTGTTCAATTTGTACAGTCAAAGTAAATGGCAGGTAGGATTTCTGCTAGGAATCCTGTCGGCATAATCCTGAAACAGAGATTGTGTGTGTGTGTGTGTGTGTGTGTGTGTGTGTGTGTGTGTGTGTGACAATCAAACCCAAGGCCTTGCATATATACTAAGCAAGTACTCTACCACTGAGCTACAACATCAGCTTGAGAATTTTATATTTGAGCACCACTAAGGGCCAGAGGTATAAAGGAATTTCATAGAAATCAGTATTAAGGAACTATATATATAGGGACAGAATCTTCTGTGAATTGGGAAGTAATCCTTCTCCAGACACTAAATCTGTTGGTACCTTAATCTTGGACATAGTGGTCCCCAGAACTGTGAGAAATTTCTGTTGTTTATAAATGACAGAGGGGTTTCTTTTAGCAGCCTGAACTGAGTGAGCATGTTAAAGGAAGGTCCACACAGGCAGGGCTATGATGTTTTGTTCATCTTTTGGTGCCTTAAACAATCAAATGGCTGAATGGAAGAAGCTTTCAAAAGTTTACTTAGATAAGACTCAATGTGCTTCTGCCTCTGCTGCTTTTTAGATGTGAGACAGGAGCTGAAGGGCTTCTCTTCCTGGATTGTGGCTGTCTTAGCTGTGGAAGAGGATCTTTATTCCTCCCTCTCAAATGGCCCAGCATAAGGTGAAAGGCAATGAAAATTGCTCAACACATAATACTCATGCCACTCAATGGGTCCTGGAATACCAGTGTGCATCTTTATCCAAGGAACAATCAGGCTAGGTTGGGGGACAGTCACCCTCCCACCCACAGATTAGTGAAAGAAACATCAAATGTATCACCTGGTCACATAAGTAGTGACCAAGTGGGGCTCTGCTGTGGGCGCCCCTTCAGGCACCGGCAGTATTCTTTGTGGTCACGTGGTTGGGGGGATCCAGGCCTAAAACAGCTCCTCTGAGTTATAAAGTAGGCAGATTTCTTTCTTAGTTGCAATTTGGGGTCAATTTTCCTCTGATAACCAGAGCAACATTTATAAATAATTCATGCACCCTATTTGGCCCAATTAGCATTCCTCAGAAGAGGGTACGATTCTTTGAAGCCAGTTCCTTCTTGAGGGACGTGGACACACCCCTGTTGGGCTAGGCCAAGCGTTTGCCCTAATTAGATATTTACACAAGAGACCCAGGCAAGGAAGGTGGATTTATTTTTAATAAAAGAAAATTAAAATCTATGTGTCTGTGGTATATTAAGGAAGACTGAACCAAATTAAAATCCTCCTACAACTATGTATAGTGATGTCCTGAAAAGGTGGTATTTCACTTGGAATTACTAAAACCTGTAGCTATGAGTCAGGAAAAAGTAATCAGGCTTCTCCACCCCAATTCCAAGTTCAGATTGATTAATGGGAGTTCTGAGTGGGGGGGTAGAGGTGGAACAATTGGGTCCTCTGCATCCAGAGGGCCACATTAAACCCAGACTCTGTGATCAGGTGTCCACCTGCAGACTGGCCATCACGACTACCGAGATTGGTGGGAGGTCCTGACAGGGATGGAGTGGAATGCAGTCCATATTTGCTGTCTCAGAAACGTAGGTGACACCCATTTCCCAAGAACAGCCAGGTCTCCAGAATTTTATGTGGACAGTCCTCCCTTGTAAATTTTTCAATTTAATTTAAACTTTTAAAACCCTTAGTACACACCTGCTTCCTAAACTAGCTATTCCACCTATGTGCTAACCCCAAACACAAGAAAAACATTTGTGCACAGAAAGACTTATACCCAAGTGTTTCTAGTACCTCTGTTCATAGCAGCTAACTAGTAGGTAAAACTATCCTGTTGGTGGGGGCGTTTTCAGGCTTGATGGAAAATGTTGGTGCAGAACTGAACTCTAGGCAGGCTGCACCTCGTATCTCCTGGGCGGCCCTACCAGACCCTTCTGGGCAATAATGCTGACACTGTCAGGTGTGGCAGGTATGAAGCCTTCCTTCTCATGGGCTTCAGTGAGTAGATAAGCTAGCCAAGGGGAGTCTGGATTATTAATCAAAGATTAACAGATTCTTAGTTAAGCTGAAGACTTCACTTAGATCTTAAGCCACACTTTCTTGAAAAATGCTCATTTTCCCACAAAATTTTGTGTAGAGTTATGTTATTGAGAGATGAATATGAAGAGGTTTTATTTAATGGTGCCTGGAAATCTGAAGACCTGTGGCAGATTTAAATTCCAGCTCATGTTATGAATTTTTTTAAAGGACTGGGAAATTACAAGAATACACATGAATCAAGTTTTAGCATACTGAAGGACAGGTGGATGAGGCGGTCCATTATGCCATTTCTTTTTTTTTTTTTTTTTTTATTCTTAGACATGGTTTGGCAGTGTGAGTGTAATATTAAAAAATCAATGAAAGGTAAATATATGAAAAAAGAGCAAAATAATTGGAAAAAATCCAAGCGTGTATCCCTAATGGCAGCCAAACTGTAGAGTGCATGTACAACAGCAGTCCAGTCAGCAGTGAAAGGCAATGATGCCCACAGGGGATCTTGTGGCCTGCAAACCGAAGATGCCATGCTGGAAGGAGCCTTTGTTGTCTGTACCACGGCAAGAAGGTCAAGAACAAGCAAAGCCAGTGCTCTGGAGGTAAACGTCAGACTCCAGTTTGCTTCCTGGGATTCGAGGGAAGGAAAGTAGAGGGAAGAATGACAAGAAGGAAGTTTCTAACATAATGACAAGTGTCCCTGCTTTTGGTGAAAGTGCAGCTGTACAGGGAATGTGTGTTTGTCAAAATTTATCAGACCATAAACTTAAAGTCTGTGCATTTTATTCTAAGTAACTACACCTTAAAAAAAAAAAAAAAGCACTCTCAAAACCCAGAATTTCCCTGTCCCATTTGATCAGCAGGCTCTAATTTATGACTTCCGTACTATGGTAAGTTCTTAGATTAGCATGCTGAGGATCTTCAGCCCCAAGGTTGAGAAACACAGTCTGCAAAAACAGCCGTCTTTGTAGGGTGATGGGGCAGAGGGCACAGGCAGAAAGGGCCTCTCATCCCAACTGCAGCCCAATCAGAGGCCCCTGAAATCCCACTGTGTTGAACTTACTGCTGTGATTTCATCTTTCACAAGAAGATTTAAGAAAATGTGCTTCCACTGTTCAGACCAAAGTGGCAGAGGTACATCAGCTTTGCTGTCTTCCTGATGGGGCAGTTACTCCTACTGAAGGATCTGGGCTGTCCTGGGCTGGTCTCGCCTTTTCCATGAACCAAATGTGCAGAGATTTTTTGTGAAATTCTTCCTATTCCTCCTTCACTGTGGAAGGATTTGGAAAGTGTGAGCAGGGATGATGCTGATCAAGGAAATATAAGATAAAACTTTCCATGCACATGCATTGAGTACCAACTGCGTGCCACTCAGACGATGGTCCTGAGGGGCTCAGAGTGTAGCATGGGTCACACAGAATGGCGGTGAGTCAGTGGCACCTCAGGGACTGGAAACAGAGTGCCCAGAGCTCAAGAGATGTGGGTTCTAGGAGAGGTCCAGATGGCCAAAGAAGTGAAAGACCAGGAAGGATCTGCCTAGCAGATCAGCAAGTGCGGGCCAGGGGGAGATGTAGACATGGAGAGCTGGACACTAAAGAAACAGGGCTCAAGGAAGCCAATGTATTTGTTGGGCAGGGGACACATTGCAGGGGTCTGGAAAGAAAGGTGGGGCAGCTGTCCATGTTGGCTTCTCCCAAGAGACCAGGCTCAACCAAAAGCCCAGGCCTGTTACTTTCAATGGACTTGAATTTTTAGGGTAGTTTTAAATTCACAGCATGGACTTTTCATGGACTTGAATTGTTAGTTTTAGATTCACAGCATAAGTGAGTAGAAGGTCCCTGCAATCCACTTGCCTCTACACACACTATCTTCCCTCACATTCAGCATGTTCCATGGTGTGACACGGGAGTCACAACCCATGAATGTGCATTGACATGCCACCATCACCTAGAACCACGGCTTACATAGTTTCATTCTTAGTGATGGATATTTTGTGAGTTTCGACAAATGAATGATGATCTATCCACCATTATAGTATCATACACAGCAGCTTCTCTGTCCTAAGACTCCTGTGTGCAGAGTTTATGAAATTGACTCTGAAGCTACAGTGGGGTGAGGTAAGAACAGAGAGGCCAAAGATGGAGGGACAGGAGAGGGGTCACCACTTCCTCTCATATCTAATGCAGAGATCCACAAAGCATCCTCCAGCAAGACTTCCTTCTCTGGGGACCTTGAAGCTGGACTTCTGAGAATGCCTTTGTGCTTTGTGTCCTGGGACCTGCACCCTCTTCAGGCAGCAGATAAAAATACCCAGCAGGATCTGTGGAGACTACCACACAGGGATCAGGCACAAACTTGATGGCTTCCTCATGCCTCCAGGATACCTGCAGATCGAGGATTAGCCCCAAACTGCTTAACAGCCTCTGGGAGGACTGGGAGGGCAAATGTCCAGTAAAAACGAAAGGTGCATATTCTGGAGGTGATAGGAGCTTTGGGGAGAGGGACTTCTGAGACCATCACCTGATAGGCGAAAACACAGATCCAATCTTCACAGACACATTCCTCCTCCACTCCAACTGGACAGGAAGCTTCACTCTAACCCCTCGATGCGCATTCTGACAACTTGAGTCATATGCACGTCTTCCCAGGGAGGCTTCCACCAAGCAGGTAAATCAATGTCATCTGAATAGCGATTTCCAATATAAATCAAACAAGTTACTCTCATCTCACATATCTGTGTCATCCTGTCTTTTAAATTTCCCATCTCTTAGTCAATCAAAACATGTCTTACTGACCTAGGCAAAATTTATTTTCCCATGGCTTTGACAACACAGGTGTTTCTTGCTGTTCCTAGAGGTCGAGCAGAATGGGAGGCAGTGTTGGCGGCAACCCCTGCCCTGCAGACAGCTGCTCCCTAGGGGCTAGGTCTGACAGAGGAAATGGGGGGAGGCTGCCTCACCATATCCTGCACCATTTCTGCAATCAGAGAGACTCATTCTTTTCCAGTTAAGCCTAAAGCTGCCCTGCCCAGGGCTCCTACACCAGCCCCACAGGAGATGTCAGAAATTGAAAACCAAAGCACCTAAAAATGGAAGCTTTTTCACCTAAATGTGCTAGTCTTTAGGTGCCACTGTCTTCTAACCCTTTCTCATCTTTCCTGTACACACACACACACACACACACACACACACGCACACGCACACGCACACACACACACACGCACACACACACACACACATGGTTTTAGCAGGCTTCTGGAAAAATGACTGGTTTAACTTGTATGTTGCACCTGGGAGAAACTAAATTTCAATCTAGGACTGTAACAGATCATAAACCAAGGATGAGTCACCTTCAGGCCTTGGACTCCTCCTCTGGGTCTTAGTCCTCCTGTCCCCAAACAGGGTTGTGCAGTGGTTCCAGCAGGACTCTGGGAATCTGAGAGATCTAATTTCCAATCCCAGCTCTGCCACTTGCTTAGCTGCATGACTTTGGGCCCCTTGCTTGGTTTTTCTGAGCATCAGTTTCTCTAGGTGAAAGTGGAAATGACCTTGCCCACATCCCAGGGTCATTGAGAAGGTGAGGCAAGAAAACACGTATGGACCATGTGTCGCCTGGCCACAGTAGTTGAGGTCTCCAGTATGCTGCAGTGCTTGAGGGGTGGCCACCTTCCTCTCACCAGGCTTGTTCTCCATCTCTAAGAAGCCTCAATGCCAAAAACAATTGCTCAAGGCTGGGCTTAGCTGCAGGCATTTCCTGTTTCTCCAAAATCCAAGCATCCCTGAGACTTACCTTGAGTAGCCAGAGCCTCCACAAAACATATTAGCTCAGAACACTAATTTGCCCTCCTGTAGTTCTTTGAAGGTGTATTTATTTCAACCTAGCTCATTCAGTCATTCTTAATCATTTGTCCCCCAAGAATCCCCTTGAGCATCTACTATGAGCACTGAGGATGTCCCCAAGTCTCTGTGGGGTGAGGTCTTGGACTGAGGCCAGATGAATGAATGAGAGGAGGGCACCTGATCTTGTGGGAGCCATAAGGATCTCCACTGCCGCTTTCTGCTTCCTGCGGATCCCCTGCCATTCTGCATGTGGCCTGTGATGACAGCAAAGATGGATGTATCCTGGTTACATTCTCAAGAAACACACAAAATCTGTATCAGGACATTCACGGGTTTTTTGGACTCTCTAAAGGCTTTTCCATGAGGTAGAGGCCTTGAGCTGTGTGTACATGTGCACATGTGTGTAGGTGTTATATGCACATGTGTGCACATGCAGGTGTGTGTGCACGCTGGACATGAGGTTGCATGTGTTTGTCATACAGAAGTGATAATAATTGTGCTCAAAGCTAGGGTAATTGATAAAATCATGCCTTTCCACAGAAGACCCTATCAAGATGTCAGAATTGAAGCAGCATAATGAATATATAAGTATCATGAAGTACACCACTGCCCATGGAAAAATTCCAACTTTGTTCTTGGCTCAGTTGATACCTCTGCATTCCCTCAAATCATTTTTCACTTGGCTTTGAGTTACTGATCAATCTTATGGACCCAAACTTCAGACACATGATTGGTTCACAAACAGCAGTTTTTCACTGTATTTCTGCTATTTGTTTTCCAACAACAGAAACCTGCTGCATTAGTATATTTGGCTCTCTAGAAGAACTGAATCAATAGAAAATATATGTATAGCTATGCAAGCGGATTTACTAGGTAGACTGACAGGACCCGAGAGGGAGAGTTCACAGTGACCGCCTGTACACTAGAGAGCTGGAGTCTGCAACAGCCGCTCAGCCCAGCAAGCTGGCAACTACAGAATGAGAGGGATCAGGATGCAGCGGCAGCCTAAGGGCAAAGGCCCAAAGGTTCACTGGAGTACCTGCTGTGAGTCTGGGAGTCTGGGCTGGAAGGCTAGAGAAACTAGAGATGGTCACTGGGGATGGCAGCAAAAGGCACACCCACCCATGAGGATTGGGACACTCCAAAAACGCACACTTCCTTCCCCATTCTTTTTTATCCCATCTAGGCTACAAGCCTATTGATTGGTGCCACCTGCAGCTGCATATGTCTTCACCCTGAGCTTGCTGGCCTCCACATCAGTCATTCACAGACACACCCAGACTGTGCTCTACTAGACATTTACTAGAAATGTCTGTTAGATATTTCCTACTATAGTCAACTTGACATAGCATGGTTAACAGTTACAGCTACCTACTGACATTTTAACAGAAAACAGGCATAACTGCCTAGTCTTCCTATGGCTTGGGTTTTAGAACTTAGAGCACTAAATAAATCTGGAACAATCCTTTCTCAATTTAGGCTAAAAATATTCCAGAGTGTACATTGTCTTTTTTTCTGGGTAGAATTGTAAACTCAAGGAGATTATCATGTATGTCCACACATGCAGAGGTCATGTATCCCTCTTGCACTATGCTGGCCTCTAAAGAGACTGTGGCTTTCTTGAAGCAAAGAGACCACGCTCAGAAATTCTGGGAGATTTATTAGCACTGAGCAAATCCTGTGTGCTTGGAAGATGTTTAGGGAATTGATTCAGGTTAGATTTAACCAATTCTAAAGGAAAGTAGTCACGTTGGATATAAGCAGCTCTAAAGGACAATTCTGTTGAATGTCTTGAATTTAATGCAGCAGCAATGAGCAGCCTCCAAATCACTTCACCACTCTTCTGTCCTCCCCGCTCCTATGGAATGGGTCCTCTCAAGACACAGTCTGTGTCCAGAATTAGCAGGGAGACTCGGAAGATGGATAGACTCCTGTCTTTAGCCCACCAAAGTGTGCAGTGCCCTCCAGAGCCACTGAGGGTATTAAGTGGTCCAACTCCTGTCCCACTCATTAGTCAGGGTCACACTGAGGTTTCCTGCTGTTGGTCTGTACCTGAGTCTCACCTTAGCTTGCAATAGGACCTGAAGTGTTTGCTGTGAATCAGAGAAGTGGAAAAGCCCAGAAAAAAATGCTCCTAGAGTGCCAAGTTTCTGTCCCAATCTCTAACCACCTGTGTCACGTATAGATGCTTTAGTAAAGGTTCAGGCCTTTTTTTTTTTTTTTTTTTCTTCAATGGTGATTCTATATGCCTTTTTCCAAGGCTTTAATCTTGGGTAAAATCATTCCTCAAATCCTCTGCTTTGCAGGGCAATCCCACTATGTGCTCAGCCAATGAGCACAGGTGCTGAGACAAATTACCCCACCATTGCAAGACTCTTTGAAGTCTCCAAACTGGAGAGCATCAGTTTGTCAGCCTGCTGCAGCATCTTCCCTGCTAGTAATGACAGAAGAATTGATTTTTCATGGGTCCTGCTTGAAGGGCATCATAGATTGATTTCTAGCCTAAAAAGTCAAAGGAAAGCCACAGAAGTATAAATTATCTCACCTGATTTCGCCCATCAAATGTGTCTGTCCCATACTGTGAAGTCCTGGAGAACTCTCCAGAGGTCCAGATACCGCCCTGAATCCACACTGTCCTACAGCCATGATTCACTCCAGGTATAGCCAGGGTCCTGCTCCCTGACATACAGACCTCTTTCATGGACAGGACCTGAGCGGGTGCCAGTAAATACACAGTACAGGGAAAGGGCTACCGCTAGGCTTTCAGAAAAAGGCAATATGCCTTTTTCCACATCTGAGAATGAAAGTTCACAGTCCCACTGGGTGTTTTGGGGCTCTTGCAAAGTGCAGGTCCAGAGACAGAAGCACAGCAGTTTAAGAAATGTGTCCTGTCCCCTCCCCAGGTTATCTTCACAGTGGAGGCACGCACTTCCCCCCATCTCTCGGCAACACCTATGATTTTACTGTTTGCTGCCACAACTCTGTCTTCCCTCTCATGCAAGCCTCCAGGAAATTCAAGACTGCGAGGTGACTCTGAATCATAAGAGCTCATGTTCAAGTTCAGAGAGGAGGAACAGGCAGCTCCAGGGAGCAGCACGTGGACAGGCAGCTGTCACTGAGCCCAGATGAGCCGTGTAGTGCTGAGGGCTGATGTAGTGACAACAGGGAATCCTGGGGTTGGTGGCAGGTAGAGTCACAAAAGGCCAGTGAAATGTTGAAGGCATGAGAGTGAGCAGGGTGCAGGACCAGGAGAGCTGCAGGGACAAGGTCCCAGAGGCGACACTGAGTTGGAAAGAAACTATCATTGCTCCAAAGTCACCCTTCAAATTGTGCAAACTTTGACAGGCTGTGACACCTGAGCATAGTCATTAATATGAAGATACAATAATGATGAGAATGAAAACCAATTTGAGTGCCTTTCCCAGTGAGCAAAGTTCACCGTTCACATTTACTTTATACAAATTGACAGTGCCCTCCATTAGAGCCATGACTGAGAGAGTGACAAAGACAGGGAGGACATTGAGGGCGCTGTTCTCGGTGTGTCTATTACTTGTTGTTTATCTAGCTTTGTGGAGGTTAAACTTGCTGTTTTCAGGACATTTTCTCCCCAATCATAAATAGCCTCGCCTGCAGTAATAATTTGGTTTAGGGAAGATTCAAAGACTATCCTGGACAGAATTATCTCATCCCTGCTTACATGACAATTTTTAGTGCATAGAGGGTTCAATGACATTATATCTTATTTGAAATAACAGCTACTAACTACTACAAGGGCAAGAAAAGCTAATCATTGTTAATTTCTGAAGCTTATAAAAATGCTACAAGTTACATAGTGTTCACAATGTTGAGAACAGGCAACAAAATCTTTGTCTCTCATCTTTCATTGTAAGGGATCCAAACAGTTACAATTTGTAGGTTATTAGGGACTTCCTGGTTTCAAGACAAAAGGGATGGTTTCTTGGGTAGGGAAAACTTATCCGCTAAAGTCCTAGCTATATACACTTTATTCCTGTCCCATTTCTGGAAAACACATTGTAAATTTCATGTTCTCTGAACTGGTAACTGGTTAGAGGTCTTGTTTGCTGGTTAAATGAACTCAAGCATGGCTTTTGGGTCCTTGAAAACTGGCTTTTCAGAGGTTTCCTTGAGTCTTTCACTCTCTGCGATCCTGTTATCTGTATGAAAAGAAGAAAGACAATTCTCACAGAACAAATTCTTCACTTTTTATTCATCTTCAAGATGGCACAATGCATAATTAGAATTATGTAAATTAGTAGGTGCCACATAGGAAATTGAAATTACTCCTAACCTACGTCCTGGCAGGCCAGCATACTTTTGGGTTCTCCCCACTGACCTTGATCAAGCATTGCCGTGTCCTTGGGAGGCACATCGCTTTTGGTCCTCTGAGCCTGTGGCCCTACCTATTAGGCGCCCAGGGGCTGGGATATATGGGAGCTTGAAAATTTATTGTGCATTTTTTGTTTTGTTTTGTTTTTCTGTGGAACTGAGGACTAAACCCAGAACCTTCACAAGGGGCTTTGACCCCAGCACCCACCACCCTTTTGTTTTTTTTCATGATTTCATTAAGACAGGAAGTTATCCAGGTTGAGCTCAAACTTGCCATCCAGAGTGCTAGAATTACAGGTGTGCATCAGCATGCCTGGCTTCTTTTTTAGTTTCATAATGAAGTCAAGGTCAGTGCGTAATCCACAAATGTGCATGTAGGTCTCTAACAGTGTGCTTGGAAGAGAGCTGTGAGATGAATTACAAAGCACAATGGTGCTTAGGTGTAGCTCATTTTCCAAATCCTCTAACAACGGATTGCTTTCTGCTACCTGGTCCTTGTCAGAGAAGAGGCTTGGGGGTTTTCAAGCAAGGACACAGTGTGTGAGCTTCTCTGTCCCAACCTGTAGCGTTGGTGCTTTTTTGCTCTAGGAACTGCCATCTGCGCTGAGGGAAAGTCAGCACATGGGCAGTGGAGTATGGGAGGGCATTAGGTTTCACTGCCCCACTAGACAGGGCTGGGAGCTCATGTTGGCGCCTGCACAGTTAAGAGTGCATTAGAGAGTGGGCGTGTGACCGCTGTCCCCTGCTGAGTGTCACCTCCAGCTTCTTCAGTTTTGTAGGCAGCCTTTCCTCCTCCTGTAACTCCCCAAACTCAGAGCCCTGACCAGCTATCGTGGGTTCTCCTGGTTAGCCCATTTCTCAGGGTGTTCCATGTTTCCCAGGCCATCTCTGAACACACCTGACTCTGTGTTGGGACCAAGGCAAATTTTTGTGTCCCTGAACACCTTCCAGTGGCCACCACACCAAGTACTTCCGCAGCACAGCTTCCCAGGAGATGCTTGGCATTCAGTTTCCTAAACCCTCAGAATTCTTCTGTGTATCCAGGAGGACTTAGCCTTGGCCAGCAGGGATTATATGCACAGTGGGCAGCTGTTTGGTCTATCCCTGCCTGGCCCAGAAAGATCTTTAGACTGCTTCCTCCCCGGTGCATCCCTCCACAAACATCCGGGTACAGTGGGAAAGAACCTCATCATCTCTGACCACCCTGTCCCCCTCTGTCCATCAGTGCAAGGCAGAGGTGGCACCTTTCTGTGGGGCATCCTTGCCAGCCAGCATAGGTAGGCCCCCTCCTTTCTGGCTTCATTGGCTCCTTTTCTCCTTCCCTTAGCCCAACCCTTTCTCCCAGCCCAGTGCTACTTGATTCCTACCCTGTCCATCTTCAGTGACGGAGGAACAGGACACTACACACGTGTGGATCTGCTCCTGCCGATGCAGATTACAGCCAGCTCCCTGCACTGTGGGCGAGTGCAGATTCCTGCCCAGTGATGTTTGGTCAGGTCTCCTGGGATCCACCAAACGTCTCACCCTCCTGTCACACTGCCTGCTTTTTGTTTTTTGTTTCTCTCATTTATTTTCTTCCTTAGTGCGTGAACTTTTCTTTGCAGTCTCCTCAGTGATGTTCCTGTGACTTTGCATTTAGACACATGTGGTTGCTTTTGTTCAAAAAACAATTAAGTTCTACCTCCTGGTAAGATCAAAAGCCCACCTTTTGCATCTTTTTTTCTAACAAGCAAATCCTTCTCCAATGAGGCAGGATCCCCGCCTACATCTGAACCATGCTGAGTCCACAACTTCAGTGTTAAGGGGTGTTTTTTTAATTATTAATCTTTCATCCACATAAGTACATTTACACCTATAACTTGGGAAATGTCTTGATTTTGTTTATGCTTTACCGTGAAATCATGTTGTTTTGTTTTGTTTTTCCACCGTGCATTGAGAAATAAAAATCTTGCTTTTTCGTGTCAGAATCTCATAGAAAATAGGTGGAAGGGCATTAGATGCAGAGTGTTCCCCAGATGCAGTTTCTGGCCTGTGGGCCAGGCTCACCCCATTGCCTCTATGGTAGAGGGTGTTTTAGGAGGTATCCACATGAAAGCAGGTCCAAAAAGGTTGGCTTGTATTATTAAAATTTTTTGCAGGAGATTGGCATTGTCCTTTCCATCTGCTCTTGGCTACATGTGTCAGGCTGCTGCCTACAGGTGGAAGGACACCTGCATCCCCAGAAATCAGCCCCAGCTGACCAGCACAGCAGAGGATTCACATCAAAGGGGAACTTGGTCTGTAGGTGACAAGGAAGCACTTCTCTGCTGTCTGAGAACATTTGTCTCCTATTTGTCATCATCCTTGTCAAAGGTTGTCACACTTGCTCTTGGGGTATGTAGGAGATAAACAGAGTGGCGCTCAACCTTCACCCTCACTTTCCTGCCTAATGGAGACATATGAGACCCAGTGTGTTTGTCATATGGGTCCTGTGGAAGGTCTCAGGGCACTGTCCACACCTACACTGTTATTTCTTGGTGTGTAAAGAGGCCTTGACAGCTCCCAGAGCAGGCTAGGATCACCTAAAAGGGGCAGAGTGTCCCTTTGTGCTACCAGAAGGAGCTCAGATAGACAGTGATGAGAGAAAGACCCTGATCTGACTAGGGATGCTGCTCTGGCCGCAGCACCGCTTGAGGAGCCTGTATGTTAGGGGACAGAGAGAAGCCGAGTTCACACGATGTACTTGTCACCTCCTCCACTCAGAACAAACCAGGGCACTGACTTGGGGTGGTCCTGACTTTCCCAGGAAATTCACAGCACAATCATTTGGATTTATAGACCACTGAGTTTTGCTAGCATGTGAAAGCACATCACAGAACTTTCCAGAAGGAAGTTACCTACCTTCTTCAAGCTCAGGAGAAGCCAGGAGCTGTCTTCACCTCCGGTTAAGGAATGTGGGTTGTCCTGAATCTACCTCCTGGCCAGCTCCTTTTGTGACAAAAGTGGCCTCTTCTCTAACAGGCAGAAAGGACTCTTGAGTCACACAAGGCCACAGTGAAGGTGGCCTTGAATCTGCCATTGCTCCAGGTTGGGAATTTCTGGACCATCAGTACCTCACCATCTTTTCTTTCTCAGCTAAGTTTGAAAGGCACATACCCTACTATGTGCCTAGGAAGGATGGGGCAGGCACACAACACACATGGCCCAGGCTCTGTGCACAGTGTCAGGGGACCCTTATCTCAGGTGAAGGAAGCTCCTCCATGACCCAGTGGACAGGGGGCCCTCTGCTGTCCCCAGGATGCCACCCTCCCAGGCAGAGCAGAGTGACCTAAAAGGCTCCTTGCCTCTCAGTTCCAGCATCTTCATTCAGGATAAGGAACTCAAGGTGAGGAGGGACATCTGGGGTGCAGAGATGGCCCCTCCAGGAGGCCTCCATTTTCCTTGTGTCTTTTGTCCTGTGTGTTCACCTGTGATGATTTATCTGCAAAAACTGGAAGCAGAAATGAGACTGGCTGTTGTTCATCCTGTCTCTTCCACTTCTGATCCTTAGTCTGGCTGGTTATGGTGCGATGGCTGATTTGAATGTCATGGAGTGCCCTGTGTGGGAGAGCCCGGGGACCTAATATGAGAGCTGGCACAAGAGCAGGTCCTGATCCCAGATCCCAACATTCTGCACAGTTCCTGGCCTTTAGTGAACCCTCAGCTGGAACACACATGGGGCCCCCACATCTCCTTTCTCTAACACATAGATGGGGCCCTGGCGCCTGAGCACCATCTCTCTCCACCACACCTGACCCACTGTGAGTTCAGGTGGGCTCTGTGGACATGAGAGAAACCCTGCTCTGAGGGGTCCAAGCCTGAGTCACCTTTCCCAACTCCAGGTAGAAAGTTGGTCCTAGACTCACTCAACTTCAGAGGCTGTGGGAAGAATGTAATTTCAGCCAGAGTGAGGGGAATCCAGGGGGAAGCAGGAAAATCCCTCTTCACATCTATTCATCTGCTTCTGCTTCTTCCTACGCACCTTGTCCCTGGACACTGCTCCCCAGGCTCCCACTTTGTCCTCTATCCTCTTTCCCTAAGCAGAGTGTCTTGACTGTCACCTCTCCTCCTCTATAACCCGTGATGCACCTACCACTTCTATAGCCCACCCCTCCTGACCAAGCCCCAGACCCTCAACATCATTCAAGGTGCTATTTTTCCCTAGGATGTTCCACCATCATCTGTCATCTGCACTCCAAGGGTGAAAGGACATTGGTCATAGAATTTCTGTGAAAGTTGATGGGTCATTTATCTCAGAACCTCAGATAACAGCCCACTCTTGGTCATAGCAGCTCAGTAAATGTAGTGTGTATTATCACCTTGTGCCACAAGCTAAAAATCATCTCTTTCCCCAGACTGGAGTTGTTCTCCCCATCTTTGTTAATGAACAGTGGACCTTACTGCTCCAGTTCCAATATCACTGATGCCAGGCTCATGGCCCAGGGTGAACCGGCTAACCATCCCCACGGGCCCTGCCTTTGAAATCCTTCTCACTCTTTCCTCCTTTCCTTCCTTATGTCCCAGGGCTTAGGTCTTAGTATCAGATGTTGCCAGGAATTGCATACATCACCCAGGAATTTCCTTAAAATGGGGTGCGCCTGGGCTGGGCCTGAGAGTCAGCATTGCTAACCAGCTCCTGGCTCACTGTGGGAGTAGCAAAGGGCCACACCATCTCAGGAGCTGGGGACCTCATGTCCACAGCTCCCTCTCTGGATTTTCATGGCCGCTCGTCACTCACAGCCAGGTCTTCACACTCCAGTCTAAACCCACCCTCCTCAGGCAGTTCCAATTCCTACAGCTGGAGCTGGCTTCCAATGATCCTAATAGTGTGGGTTGTTGATAAAAATGAGCCTCTCATGGCTAGGCCACCTGCCTCCACTGCATTAGAAGACCTCAGTTCAACACTGCACTGTCTGTCCTCATCTCCTCAGCTTTCCACATAGGACAGAGGCCCAGGGGACCCCACCAGGAACTCCCTGAACAGGAAATCATACTCCAGCTTCCTTGAGCCTCTGCCCCCCGCCTGACACCCCCTCTGCCTTCTCTTCTGGACAACGTTTGCTCTGCACTTCATGTCTGTGGAAGTTGGCTAATCACCCAAGTTGAATCATAGCTCCTTCAAGTTCATTCCTGGTGGCTCCACCTCCTGATTGTGAGGTAAGGCTGCTGGGGAGCAGTCCTTCCACCCCAGCGAGCCGCTGCAGGGCAGAGATGGAACAGTACTCAGCTTTCTGTCTCCAAGCTCTAGCAGGCAGCCTGACGCTGCGCATTGCCCAGTGAAGGATATTGAAAAACTGTACTCAGTGGAATAAAAAGAAGGATTTCTGATCACATTGACAGCTGGGTGACTTTTGAGCGGAGTAAAAATAAAGTCTGCTTTGCTAGGCATAAACTATTTTGATCATCTTGCTTCTGGAGATCATATAAGTTTTAGTCACCAGACACTTAGCATTTGGCAGGCACACAACGAATACTGTTTAAATACAAATCCTTAAAATTCAGCATTCATTTAACTTCAGTTTCAAAAATTACTTCTGTACAGATTCGTGTCTTTGATTTCCAGGTAGCTTGTGCAAGTCCTTTGAAAGGAGAGGGTCAGGGATGATCAGGAAAGTTATCTTTGGCCTCGGAACATAAGTGGGACAATAAGAGACTCCAGATGGCGTGACAGGTTTTGACGTCTGTGAGCTTATTGCCCTCTGCTGGCCATATAGAGAAATGCAGCTCTGCTAAGCTCTTTCTGACTCCTATCTCTAACAGAGAAGTGAAATGATCTTTGTCTTTCTCAAGAGTGTTGGCCTCCTCTAGGATCATCGAGCATTTGAAGAGGAGATTTATCAAATTAATGTGTGATCTGAGAGTAAAGGTCTTAACCAGGAATTCTACATCTCCAAAGTTGTGTGAAGTCAATTAATACTTCTCAATTGCTCTGTAATTTACTCCAGTGTGTTAAAAGTATCATGGCAGTCTGAAATAACAGATTTTCTTAAAACAAAGGCAGCATATGGAGATGTGTGTAGAGCTACCTGCCAAGGGAAAGCCAGGGCAGCATGCAAGAGGTGTAAGACTTTTGTCTGTAGCATTCCTGAGTTCAAACCTTGACTCATTCTAATCCCTATCCTGACTTTAGGCCAGTTCCTTTCCCTCCAGGATCCCGTTTCTCAGTCCTTGAAGGAGGATTGTACTGACAATACCTAAAGGGTCCTGCACACAATAGATGCTCACTCAGATTGCAAAGGCTATTTGTATGAATATAGTTTAATCAATAAGTTTAAAATGTGAAACCAGATGGAGTGGCACACACCTATAGTCCTAGCTACCTGAGAAGCAGAGGAAGGAGAATCACAAGTTCAAGACCAGCACGGGCAATTTAGCAAGACTGTGTCTCAGAAAGAAGGGGAAAGGTGAGGGCTGCAGCTCAGCCACGGGCCACTTGTCTCTCATTGCTTGAGACCCGGGGTCTGATCCCTTAGTACCAAAAGAAAGTAAATAAATCTCAAATGCGTACTTTGGAAATGAAAAAGAGGCAAGCTGTGAAGGTGGTGATTACCACTACTGAGTGGCTCTGGGCTGGTAAAAGGTGCTCCTTTTTCATCTTAACAGTAGTGATTACTAAGAAACAGAGTTTTTCATGCTCACACCAATGTCTGCAGACATTAGCATTGCCTCTGAGAACAACCTGGAAAGCAAGTGTCTGTTGCTCTTGGTCCTGAAGCCTAGTCCATTTGCACCCCGCTGGGAGACTTCATGCAGGATATGCTGTCCATGGAGACAGAACCGAGCCCCAAGGCTGACTAGGGGCCAAGTTGGTAGATGAGGCCTCACACCTCAACTGCAGACTCAATGAACAAATAGCATGACCCAGCTTCCCCCATCAGTGTGTCCTCCAGCCAGAGTTCCTATACTACCAAGCAGTCCCTGTGACCTCTAACAAGAGTCTAATGTGTTTGAGCAAAGTGGAGCACAGGGGGCTGTGAGGTGACTACCTGCAGGTCTCGAGCAAGAGCCTTTCTTCTGTGTTGAGCCATTTTCTAATTGTGTCTCCCCCAGTGCATCCACCCAACATTCAGTAAATACCTAGCTCCCTTACCACTAAATACTTAACTACTTTCCCAAGGTGCACAGCAACTCGGTGCAAGAGGAGCTGGGCATGTATAAATACAGAAGAGCTGCAAAGCTGGCCCATGAGCCTGCCATCCAGACCCAGAACACTACTAAGCAGGGCCATGAAGAGAATGAGATCACCCAGTAGGGTGAGAGGGGAACCAAGAAAAAGAGTGGAAAACACCAACCTTGCTAGATGGAAAAATGCAATTTGGGTTTGGAATGGAGATGGAGCCAGCAGGAAGGGTGGGGGCCAGACGGTAAAGGTTCCAGGACGCCAGAAAAACCATCAGATGCAGTAAGTGGGGATGGCAGGACCTAGGTGCTAGTACCTGCTCTGCCCCAACCTCTGAGCCTCGGCTCCCTCCTCTGCAGTTGAATGTGACAGTGACTGCGTCCCCCAGCCCAGTGAAGATAAAGGAAGATGATCTGAGAAACAGCGAGTGGAGTTCTGGGCTCTTGTTATTCCCATGCTGGTCATCACACAGGACAAAGGTCCCCAGGGCCTGTGGTGGATCACTCCTCTGAGTCTGTCCCTATCTCCCTGCAGGTTCGCCATGGAGCCCCTCTGTCCTCTCCTGCTGGCCAGTTTTAGCTTGCCACTTGCCAGAGCCAGCAAGGAAAACGAAACCACCCCTGCAGAGAGTAACAGGACCAACACAACCACAGGTAGGGACACCACCCCCCTCTGCCACCTCCTAGCACTGGACGTGAGTGATAAGGTGGGTAGATGAGAGAAGAAAGGTGTGACTGATTTTCTCAGTGTGCTGTCAATAAAGAGGCAGGCTGGGAACACTTACTGTTCAATGTTTCCCTGGTACTAAGCTCAAGATTGAGTCCACATCCCTGCTGAGAGCAGGCACCAGCCGTAGAGGAAGCGGGGAGCAGAATGCAAATGCACTGTGCAGAACCCTGTTCAAACCATCTGAAACACAGACTGGGGAAATGTGAACACGGCTATGAGTGGTTAGTGATTCTCATTAGGTTGCTGAACCTCTATTGTCCAAATTCTATAGTGGTAAAGTGGTGAGGTTTCTTTTTATAAAGAGTCAGTGTCTTTTAGAGATGCATGCTGGAGCTTTCAAAGACATAGTATAATTTCTAAGACTGATTTGAAGAAGAGGGAGAGGGGGCAGGATGTGGACAGGGCTCTACAGTTGTAAATGAGCAGAGTTTGTGCTGTCCTGGTGAGAAAGGCAGGGGCAGTTACACAGGGCTAATTATTGTATTCTTTTTTTGGTGCCAGGATTGAACTCACAACCTCGTGTTTGTCAAGCAGGCACTTATGCTGCTGAGCTAAACCCCCAGCCTATTCTTACTTTTTTATAGTTTAAGACTCCCAAGGAAGGAAAAAAGTGTATTGTGATCTGGGTGTGGTGCACATACCTGTAATTCCAGCATTCTAGGAGGCTGAGGCAAGACAATTGCAAGTTTGAAGCAGCCTGGACATAAATTTTAGAAACTACTAGGCATGGAACTCAGTGGCTGTGCACTGGCCAAGCCCAGAGAAAAGCACATCTGTACACATGCACCCGTGTGGAGGAACCTCAGAACCAGGCTCAGGGAACAAGTTAGACAAAGAGCAAGCAGTGTGTGATTGCATTGCTGCAAAGTGTCCAGGACAAGAGTGACCACAGCAGGCAGAGGGACCTCAAGGGAACACGGAAATGTTCTCAATGTGAACTGTGGTGAGAGTCGTACAACGTTGTGAATTTACTAAAACTCACTGACTTGGGTGATTTAAAATGGGTGTATTTCATAGCATGTAAATTTTACTTCAATAAAACATATAAATACTATGCAAAGGTAAAGGGAGGAAAGGAAGAGGAAGAAAGAACAGAAGCAAGAGTGGCTCCTCTTAAATCACATTGCCTGGGGCCACAGTTCCTGGTCCACTATCTGCAGGCTGAGTGACCTGGAGCACTGAACTGCTCTGTGACCTGTCTGGGAGGTGGAGGTAACAGGGCATGCATGCTCTCAAACACACCCTGAAATGTTGAGGTCATCTTTGTATAATGTTTGTTAGAAAAAGCAATTTAAAATTGCTTCCATTCAGGCTAGGGCTCAAGGTCCACCCTACACAAAGTCTTGGTAAGGTTTCCTATAAATGTACCCCACTTGCCTTAAGGGGAGGGAAGCAGTTTATACTGTGCTGATGTTGCAAGCTCCCAGCTGGGACAGCAGCTCCAAGTGCCCTCCTGTCCCTTTTGCACACTGAAACCCCAGAGACATCCAAAATCACTAAAAAGGAAGACCAGGAACTAACAGCACATATCAGCCATATGCACACACTGCTCCCTTTGCTAGCCAGCTCTCCAGGTACAGGTCAACAGCTGTGTCCTGCAGCCTGGGACACTCCAGACTCGAGTCCCTATGGCTGAAGCCTGAGACCAACCTGAGTTCCTGACTGGCCTTGCCAGTGCTGATCCACTGGGCATTTAAGGACACCCGGAACACTGCCAGGTTGGACTTGTGCACATCCGGGAGCCATTTCCATGAGGAGGGGCAGGATCTGCCGGATCACTTTGAACTCTCCCAAAGGCTGGCAAGATGTTTTCCATGCCTGGAGCTTTTCAGTTTATCTGAAAACAAAATTTATTGGCTCAGAATACTGCCACAGTCAGGGAGGTATTACTTTCAGGAAGAGACAGCTGTCATGTGACCTCAGCACCCAAAGCAGAAGCAAATGTGAAACTTATCACGCAGCCTCTTCCGGGTCTCACTTAGCAACAGCAGCTGGTTGCACACGCAGAAGTGACACAGGGCTCTGGTTCCAACTTGCAGATGGGTTCTTGGGTCCAGAACTTTGAGCAGGTGGGGATCCCAACCATATGAAGTGCTACTTAAGCCTTTGCTGAACCCCTGAAAGGAGTGTGATGTGTCGTTTGAGATGTTAACACATAGCCCCAATGTGCCAAAATAACAGGAAATCATTTTCAATGAACAAAATGAACTCAGTATTCATCCTGATACATTTTATATAGGGACTTAACATAGATACTATATGCAATAACTATGTAAGAAGATGTTATTATCTGTACAATAGGAAGAATTTCTAAAAATTAATATACAAAAGAACACAGTAAGAAAATGAGTAAAGAATATAACCAGGCAAAGTAAAGTATCTGATTAATTATGCTTCACTACTCATGATAAGATGATAAACTATTTAGAAATGAGAGAAATGCAAATTAAAGTGGCATTATGCTTATAACTACCAGCTTGGGAAAATGAAAATTTTATATCCCAGGGAAACTGTCTCCATCATGTACAAGGGGTGAGTGTAGAGGTTACACACTTTTTGGAGGGCAACTTGGCAACTTAATAGTTTTTTTGTTGTTGTTTTTTTTTTGTTTTTTGTCTTTTTCCTTTTTATCAGTACCAGGGATCGAACTCATGACTGCCTGCTTGCAAGGCAGGCGCTTATGCCACTGAGCTAAATCCTCAGCCCCAATAATTTAATATGTGTACATTGGACAAAGTTCCTTTTAGGAGCTCTCCCCCAGAAACACTGATGAATGCACAAAAATGAATCAGATACAGTTCCAGAATTGTAGATAAAAGGAAAGACGGTGGAAAGGGTTTATCCATTCAGCCTTGGTCTATCCAAAATGTGGTAATCAAAGCAGCCTGCATGCAGCATTTAGAAGCTCATGTGTGCTGATGTGGAATCTTTCCAGGCAGGATGAGAAAGACAAGCTGCAGGCTAGCAGAGTGTGGCTCGTCTGTTTTGTCATATGTAACATTGCTATATAGGGATCTGTCTTAAAATTGGTAGCTCTTCACAAGTATAATTAGTATCTCATTTTTCTGCCTTAATCATTTGAGGTATTTCTTACAATCCTCGTAGTCTGAGATGAAATGAGAGTAGGATGTCCATTTATTTTCCAAAGCTGCATATTTATGAATGTGACTTTATAGAAGAAACATGTCAGGAAGGACGTACTCCAAGATTTCAACTCAGTCCCACTCAAGAAAAGACTCAAGATTTAAGGAAAGGTTGCCTCCTGCACGTTTACTCTTTATTTTTGTGCTAGTTGGAGGATTTTTCAAGAGGCCTCTATCCTAGTTTGCTTGTACCTGACCAAGTGGAGGGAGGAGCCAGAGATGCCAGAGTTGTCTGCCTGGACAGTTGGTCCCAAGCTGCTGTCCACAGCTGGGCCCTCCAAAGGGTGTCTCTATTCTGCCCCAGAGCACAGCTTCTCACTCTGTGCCCTGTCTGTTGTCCTTCCCTCCGCTCCTGTCCATTATCCCAACTCTTCCTCTTCGTAGCGGGCCCCAGAAATGGAGTGGTCCACGATTGCCTCCCACCTCTCTCCTTCAGAGCCAGCCACGCCTCCCTTCCATAGGGCTTCCCCCACGGCTGGAGGTTCATGCCGTGAGGGTGTGGGGGGAGAGGTATATGGAAGCAGTGATTGAAGGTCCGACCTCACACCCCGGCCAGGAGCAGTTCTGTGTAAGCAGGTGGGCTCCTGCACACACCTTCACCACTTGCAGGTGTACATGTGCCTGAGGGTGTGAACACAGGTGCACGTGGGCTTTACACAGCAGCCAGCCAGCCCTCCTGGGAGGAGGTTGCTCCAAACTGCCTGCTCAGCACCCTGGAGCTACTCTTGACCCAGCCCTCTCTCTTTCAAGCCTGAGCCACGTCAGCGTGAAAGGAAACCAGAACGTGACTCAAGAGTTGGCTCTCGGAAGCCTCGATACCCCACTGGGTAGTACCAGGGATAAGGCAGCCCAGTGTCTTCAGGGCTTTCTTCTCTTGTTCACATTGTTTTTCAAAATTGCATTTAAATTGAATTATTACTAATATTTTAAGTAAAAAACACACACACAACTATGTGAATTTTTTCTTTTGGGAACCTTGGGGGATCAGGCAGTCTGGGCCACCTACCCCCTGGGCCCAGGGCCTAAACTAAGCAACCACCAGCCCCATAGAAGAGCACAGGCTCTAGTGCTCCCCCCTCTCCAACCAAGTAGACCCCCAAAACTGGCCAGGTTAGCTACCACCTACACAGAAGCCGAGCTGAGCTGGACCTCTGGGCCATGTAGAAGTAGGGAGTTGCTTCACAGTCGCCCCTCCAGAGAGGAGAGAGAGTGGATGCTCCCGGAGGGAGGGGAGTCCTCCCGCGCTTCCTGACTACCTGACCTCATTGACTGGGAAGGGACAGAGTGAAGTCAGGGGTACCTGACCCACCCCATCAGCCTGGACTGGGGTTTGCCCCTAGGGCTCTGCTTGGGGGCCTGTGGGATCAGGGGCCACGGGCCAGGTCATTCCTGTGGGGAACCTCAGTGGTGGGTTCCCAACAGGGACCAAGCAGACTGTCCCAAACACCCAGACTGGCACAGAGCTGAACATCTGGCCATGTATCACAGCCTTCAAAATATATATAGGGGTGAGAAGTTCCAGGGAGGTGACAGGACTGTGTTGCCTTCTGGTGCCTCTGAGCACCCCGTGGAGCTATAGGAGAGGAGCAAATGGGCTCCCTGGAGGAGGGGCCATGGTGGTCCTTGGAGCAGGAACTTTTTGCCAAGGGAGCAGCAGAGCAGGCTGAGAAGAAGACGTGGTGTCATGGGGGCGGTGAAATTGCCAGTGGCTGTCAGAATTTGGGCACATGGAGTCGGGGCAGGTCCTGCACAGCCACAAAGCCTCAGTGCTAGGACCAGGGATGTGTCTCTCTCTAACTGAAGAAGCTGGACCCAAAAGGTGGACAGAAACTGAGGATGGTACCTGCTTCCCTATACCCAGGTCTCCTGGTTTCAGCAAGTCAGCATCAGCATGGCGGGGCAGTGGCATCTGCCGCTCTGCCCTCCTCCATCTCCTTACGGGAGATGCAGGTGCCCTAGGGGCGCAGAGAAGCAGGGACCATGCGGGGAACCAGGCACCTCACTCCTGCACGCTGCCACCAAGGGTCGCCAACAAGTCACATCACCCACTACTCGGTCCTGGTTTCTCTCATTTGCTTCTTTCTTTCCCCCTCGTTTGTACTGGGGATGGGACCCAGGGCCTTGCCCATGCCAGCAAATTCTCTCCTACTAAACCACATCTCCATCTCCAGTTCTGAGTCTTCCTCAGTCCACAGCCACAAAAACCGGCCTTTGGCTGCATGGGGGTGCTGTGGGCTAAGGTGGTAGGGGTATTTTACAAACTGAAGCGGGGCTCTGTGCGGAGGAAGGGCTTTCCCCTGCCGGGTCCTCACAGTCCACCCCGCACCCAGGCCCTCCGGACACTGACACCTCCCCGTCGCTGCTCACCTGGCTGCTGTTGCCTGTGCTGCTGCTCCTCCTCTTGCTCCTCCTCGCCGCCTACTTCTTCAGGTAGGAGTGTCCCCAGGCGCTTGCTTTGCCTCAGCCAGCTCAGATGAGGAAATGAGCCTTCTGGAGGCTTCAGGGTGGGGGCCAGGAGACTAAGGCACGCTCGGCCAGCCGGGCCCCAACACAACTCAGTTATGAGCAGCAGGAAGAGCTTTTCCAGGCTCACCTGGTAGGTATCACCGCGCCCAGGGCTCTGCGCTTCCTGCAAGTCTGGGTGTGCGGGTGTGCGCCTGTGCGGGTATGCGGAGCCCTAATGCGTCTTGTGCCTCTAAGGTTCAGGAAGCAGCGGAAAGCCGTGGTCAGCAGCAACGACAAGAAGATGCCCAACGGGATCTTAGAAGAGCAAGGTACAGGAACTTCCTCCTCTGGCTGGGTCTTTCTTAATAAACATTAGGTTGTTTGCTTTCCATTTAAAGCAAATTTTAAATTCCTCTGGTCCTACAGCTTTTCACCTCACCCTGCCTGGTATTTTACTGCCGTTTACTAAGAGTTTAATATTTACCCTAGAGTTTCTGTTTCAAAAGTTTGCTTCAGAGATTGCTTTTTCCTCCGGTGTGAAATGGATGTCTTCTGTTTGTGGTTTTTTTTTTTTTTTTTTTTTAGTTCATATCCTGTCCTTTTCACTGGGTTTTGACACATAATGTTTTTCAATAAGGCCTTTAAAATAGTTCTATCATACGCCTGGCTCCTAATCTGAAGTGTTCATCTGACGTGGTACTGTCTTAGAATCAAGCCAAGGAGATGGAAATTGCTCTCCTGAAACACTCCCCCCTCACGGAAGATCAGTCAGTGACATGCGGAACTTTCAGATTCAGAGATCAGTTTCTAACTGGTAAATGCCTTGTGTGAAGGCTCCTTGTGCTTGTCTTTCTTTCAACAAATTGAGACTGAGAACAGTGATATGACACAGACTTTTTAAAAAAAAATATTGGTTCATACCAGTGACTACAACTTCCTGTTGTCAGCTTCCTACCTAACTGTGTTGTGGTTTGGGGAAACACATGCTGTTGAACTATAAGTAGAATTTTAAAACTGACACAAGATAATAAAAGGAGTATTAGGGAAAAAGTACCTAGCGAAAATAGCTTCTTGGAGCACCCACAGTTACTAGCTTCTTAGGTGGCCCCAGGACCCCTCCCGCAAACTCAGGAGGAAAGAAGGGGCAGCCAGAGAGAGGCGGGGCAGCCCAGCTGCTCTCCTCCGCACACTTCTGTCTTTTGGAAGAAGGAGCCTCAGGGTTTTTGGCTGGACCTCAACTGGCTCTGCAGGTGGGACAGGCCATTTTGCAAGTGTGAAGGCCCAGTTATCCCACTAACCTTGTCACTAACATCTTGTTCCTCAGACAGGTAAGCCCAGACCCTTGGCTTTTCCTGCCTCTGAAAAGAAACTGAACTTTGGAAGGAATTGGTCCCCCACAGTCCCTTGCCTCCTGCCCTTCTTTGAAGTGCCCCCCCACACCCCCCACCAAAGGAGGAATTCTCTTCCTTGGAGTTTATGGAGTTTGAGGAATCATAACTATTTGTTACAAAGAAGAGGAGACCAAGAGAGTCATTTATCTTAATAGGATTCCCATCTGCTCTGAACCAGCAGCCCAGAACAATTAGAATTGTCCTCTAGCTTTGAACCTGGAAACCTGAGCTTGGGTGTGAAGCCACCTTATGTCCTCTGTGGAGGGAGCAGGGGATGTGTGTTAGGACAGGGAGGTGGCTGGGTGAGTGAGTAGGGTGAGGGATGCCAGGTCTATGATGGGCAAGGGTCTCCACTTGCAGAGCACAAGGCTCCATGCCAAGAGATGGATGTTTGATCCAGAGCACAAGGTTCCGTGCCAAGAGATGGGTGTTTGATTCAGTTGCTCAGGGCCCCAGCCACTCTGGGCTGTGTGACTGACTGGACTGTCCCCCTCTATCCAGGCCTTTCTTCAGGAATACTGTACATTAGTCTGAGTCCTGGGTCACCCACCTGGGATGGGCTAAGTGCCTCCCCCAACCTCATTTCTTCTGACCCCACAGAACAGCAGAGAGTGATGCTGCTAAGCAGGTCCCCATCAGGGCCCAAGAAGTACTTTCCCATCCCTGTGGAGCTCCTAGAAGAGGAGATCCGGGTGCGCTCAGCTGATGACTGCAAGCAGTTCCGAGAAGAGTTCAATGTAAGTGTCAGAGAGTCCTGTGTCCGTTTCTTGTCCTTCCCTGGGTCCTGTTCTTGCTAGGGACTGCAAGTACACAATGACAGTCCAGGGTCAAGTCTTCCAAGGAATTTCCTTACATCTGAAAAGAAAACTGAACTTTGGAAGGAACTGGTCCATGCAGCCCCTTGCCTCCTGCCCTTCCTTGGAGTGCCCTACCCCACTCTTAAACCCCACCACCACCAAAGGATGATTTCTCTTACTCGCAGTTCACAGAGTTTGAGGAACCAGAGCTATTTGTTGCATCAGTTATGACACCACACCAGACTTGGGCAGGATCCTAGTCCCTGGCTCAGTGCCCCTCACTGGCACCCATGGCTCTTTCTACAGTGAGATGGTTTGTGTGACGCTCTTGAAGGCACCAATGTACTCAGACACTCCGAGTGGCACATTCTCCACAATGTGGGAGAACCAAGCCTGAGCCAGGGCAGGATGGAAGCCATGGAGCCTCCAACTGTCCTTGCATGGCTTCTAAGAACTTGAGCTTCTGATTGGAGTAGGAAACATCTCTTTACTGAGCCATATCATGGCATGAGTCAAGCAGGCATGAGGATGCCCTTCAGGGAACACAAGCTTTGATGTCTGTGCTGCGTGTAACTGTAAGCAAGAGTCCCACTGTCTGTGTCCTGCTCCTGCTGTTTGAAATGAATTATCTCCACAACCCAGCATGAGCAGCAGCTTGCTCAGACCACAGACTTAACCAGCTGACACGGTCCCTGTAGATACAAGCTGACTCTCAACAAAATGTACATTGATGCCTCCCCTACTGCTATTAATTTTTTATTTAATGCCCCTGAATCTGATGTATGTATGTATACAGAAACACACACATAGGGAAGTGTTACATCAGCTTCACTACTCGGTGTTGATAACAGCTCATATTTTGAATTTTGCATTCTCATCCTTGGGCACGTGACCGTGTGCCGCAGATTGAACGTGATAGAGGGGGTTTTCAGTGTTTGTCGTAGTGTCCTGGGCCTGCCTGTTGCATCCTGGCCCTAGCACATTATTTAACCAACTCAAGATATTTTCATCATCTACAAAGGGGATGTGGGCCTGTCTTAATTAGCTCACAACTCAAATGTGAGGCTCAGTCACTGGGTTTCATAAACAGCCCAGGGGTGTGCAACTGTAACCTCCAGAGACTGCCTATGAATGCTGCTGCAGATCGATAACTTTACACACAAACAACCCACGAGGGCACAGAGGGGATGGCACGCTTAAACTGTACTTTGCATTCTTCTTTTGGTACCAGGAATTGAACTCAGGACCTCACACTTGGCAGACAGGCACCCTGCTGCTGAGCTATACCTCTGGCCTCTTTGCTTATATTTTAGCATAAGTTGTATTTGCCTTTTTCTCATCTCCCATTTGCTTTTTCTAAATTTATCTCCTCGTTGTCTTTTGTTTTTTTTTGTTTTTAGGGATTAGGTCATAATGAAAGCCAGCTCCACCTAGTACTGTTTTGCAGTATCTTAGCTTGGTAAGAGAAGTTAATTGTCCATTTTCAAAACAACTATCCAAATTAGTAGCAACAAACTTCCCTACTCCCACTCGCTTTTTGTCCCATTTCCCCTTCAATTTTGGTTTTTCTGAGTGTAGGCTGCCTGGCAGCTGGGCTTGCTGAGGAGGGCTGAGTCAATACCACTTGACTGTCACTACCACAAAAGAAAAGAATATATCCTGGGAGGGGGCCAGGAATAGGGTGAGGCAAGAAAGGCATTTGCCCCAGGCACAAAATTTAAGAGCTCACAGAAAAGTGCAATTGTCAGGATAAAACATAGTTGAATGTAATACCTAAAAGTATCAAACTTAGTGCAAGTCACCTGTAGTGAACAAAATAGCACAGTTACAAATGAGCACACATGGGTTTCTGATGAGTTTCTCCTCTTGTCCTGGACTCCAAGATGGTTTGTATCACAGTTACTGATTCTGCCACTATTTAAAAGTTTGACATGTTGGTCATAATGGTTTCTGTGCAACAAGTAGGAATTTTTAGAAATTGCATTAGAATGTTAGAAATTAGAAATTTTGGGGTGATGGTTTACATTTTGCTCCCAGGGCAGAAGCCTCACACACTTGGCACCCTCCCCCCTACCCCTGTTTTTGCACAGCCCCTCAGCTGCTTATCCCCTTATCCTGTGACAGGCAAGAAGACCCTGGACTCAGGGTCAAGCTGGTGGGACCTGGTCCTATTTCCAGGATACCCTAGGCCAGCTGCCAGTTTGCCCTCTCTCCAAGGAGGAGCTGCCCAAGTCCTAAGATCACATTCTTGTAGCATTCTTCTCCCAAGCCTGCTGAGACCTGCCAGTCTTGGGTCCTCAGAGGGACTTGCTCGAGTTCAGCTCTTACAGCCCTTCCTTTCATTTCCCTGCTCATTGGTCTGGGCTTCTCTTCATGAAAGGGACCCAGATGCGCCTCCAAGTGCTCAGTCCCATTGCCTTTGGACATTGATGTATGATCAACCCAAAGTTCAGCTACACTTGCTGAGGATAAAAGGGTCTTGGTGTTAGGATCAGCACAGAAGGATGAATGCTGAGTAACTGTCTCAGAATTAGAAGGCTTGAGCAGTTTACTTGACATCTGCTTCTCTTTCCTCACCTGTGAAATGGGGATACTCCCTGCCCCCACGGGACTGTGGCAGCATGTAAATAAATAAAGTAACATGTAAATGGGACACTGTCAGGATGATATCTGCTGTTCCACCTGGAGATAGTAGATGACTATTCTAATAAAGTCTGTTCCCAGGACCCAGATTAAATCCCAGAAAATGAGTGCCATTGGCTAAGGAAAAATTCCTTCTCTGGACAGGCTCTCCCCCACTTCCATCCCAGAAGCTATTTCAATCTGGGTTCCTGGGACCAATCCAATAACAAATGTCCTAGAAACATACAAGAGGTGTCATCAGGAAAGGTGCCAGTGTGTAAAACAAATCAAAGCCATCTCCTGGCAGTTACTGGAGCAGATGGGGCCACTTGTAGAACAGGATGGAAAAGCGGCACTGCAGGGCTAAACAAATTACCAAAGACCTTTCCCTAGGGGTGCACTTGTTTCCTCTGAGCCTCCCCACAGCTCAGGTCTCCTGACTGAGACAACATGCAGGGTCCAGTCTCTGGAGGTGACTTCTATGTGCTTGGGTGACAGCTGCCAATATGCAGTGCACAGAGTACTCTGCCTACCTCGCCCCGTCTGATGCTCTGTGAACCCAGGAAGTCAAGGAGCAGCACCACGTTCTGGACCTGGTGCAACTTCCAGGGTTACACAACAGTGAGGTGTCAGAGCCTGGCCCCTCCCCACCACTTCTACCCCCTCGAACCACAGCCACCTTGCCTTCCAAGCAATGGGGTGACTCTTGGAGTTTTAAAATTTTTTTATTTTTTAATGGACTTTATATTTTTAGAGCAATTTTAAACAGTCAGAGAAATTGCACGTGAACTGCAGACTTCGCATGCACCCCATCTCTCCATGGCATTGGTGTCCTCTGTTTTTAATAACGTGCAATGCTGTGCCTCACTTATGATTGGTGAGCTGCTATTGATACATCGCTACCAACAAACTATTGCAGTTAAAGTTTGCTCATTCCATGGGTTTTGGCAAATACACAGCATTATATGTCCTTCCACTATCCGGCCTGGTTTTTATGTCTAGTGCTAGGGTCAAAAAAATTTTTTTAAGGCAAGAAAAAGAGAAGGCTCTAGGATGCTGCCACAAATCCAGTGTTTAGGTAAGATCAAGGAGGTATTAAGACAGCTCTGAGAAAGAAGCTGGGAATACCTGGGGAATAGTTGTTGGTAACTACAAAACAAGCTCAAGTTCTGCCTGTTGCTTTGTTGAAACACTCACGGGCTGGTTCATTCACATATTCACATGGCAATTGCTCTGCCAGCGTCCCATTGCAGAGGAAAGAACACAGTTCACAGCACCCCACTGTGCACATTTGCTTGAGAACTGGGGCTGCCCTTGGAGAAGCTTCTTCTCACTTAGGGCCCTGACCTAAAGAGCTAGCTGCCCATGGTTCAGATCTGAGAACCTTGGAACTGCACTGTGAGGCTGGCCTCAGTTTCCTGGGAAATTGAAGGGAGTCATACAAAAACCCTCACTTTTCCCAGGCTTAAGAAAGGGAGCACTTATTAGGCTGGACCCCAAGACCTCAGCCAGGTCTGCTGTTCACTAGCCTAGTGACCCTGGGCAAATCTGCAATTCGCTTGTTTTGAGTTTCACACTCCTCATCCCTGCAAACGAAGGTCATCCCTACAAACAAATGTCACCTGATGATGGGTGAGTTTTGAAGGTCAGAACAAATGACCCAGTTCTTCCCACTTCATCTAGCACAGTATAATACTAAATAAATATTAACACTTTTTACTGGATCCTAGTGCTTCCTGGTTCCTGCCAGTGGTTAGCCTTAATGTTGAAAGACATAATTTGAGGTTCAGAATGCTCTTTTACCATATGAACCATGAGGAGCAAGTCTCACGGATGAGCAAATATTGAGTGGCTGGAACCAACTAACCACCAAAAGCAGGTGGCTCCAGATAATAGAAGGAACTAAAAGTCCAGGCACCTGAGTTTAGGCGCAAATGTGTCACTTAGCAGTTTTAGGGTCCTGGCACATGAAGCATTATTTCACATCTCCAGTTCTTCAGCTGGAACAAAGTGGTTGTTAAGGTGGTGAGTCCAGAGCAGCAGGGGTTGTTAGGGTGGGGAGTCCAGAACAATGAGAGGACCAGAGCCCCAGGAAACTCAGGGATATAGGTGCTGATTCAGTGGGTTTGGAGGATCTCTGAGAATCCACATTTCTGACCAGCTCCTAGGCCCTGATAAAGCCGGTCCACAGGGAGCACCTTGAGTTCCAAATAAAATTAATACCATGTCCAGTGTCACTTCCCACAGTCATGCTCCTCAATCTCATCCTCAGCTCAGCCTCTCCCTAAATCATCATTCTTTTCTCAGTCTTTCTTGCTGTCTCCTAGGTCAGAGCTCTGTCAGGGTAAGCCCACTGCTGCCTGGGGAGAGCCTGCTCTGGGGTGGATGTGTGGGGCCAAGGGTATGGTGAGATGTGTGAGCCAGTCTCAGTGTAGCTTAAGATCGGTAGGAAGATCATTCAGCTCCACCTCCGTTGGCCTCACTAGACAGAAGGCCCTGATAGAAGCCAGAGTCTGCATCTTGTTCAACTTCTGCTCCATGTCTAGTACACCATCTGAGACAGAACTGGCTGATAAACAGAAAGCGGTCTGCTTTGAGATGCGTTTCACTTCCTGTGCTCATTAGGGAAGCTGATGGGAGCACGGTGCTTGGATGCATCACATTTAGTGCTAAGTCTGCATTTTTTTTTTTTTTTTCCAGTCGTTGCCATCTGGACACATACAAGGAACTTTTGAACTGGCAAATAAAGAAGAAAACAGAGAAAAAAACAGATACCCCAACATCCTTCCCAGTAAGATTTTACCTTTTTTTTTTGAATGACTAGTGATGTTTGAACTAAACTCAGCATTACCTTGCAGCTCCTCCATGACTGCCTGGCTGGTACTCTGAGATCAGAGTCCCTGTCACCTCAGAACTGCACAGCATTGCACCGGGGACTTCAGGGACTTTCCTGGGTACCTGGTTCCCTCACAGGGTTTGGGCACCTTTTCTGCTCATTCTAGCCACTCAAGCTGTGCTTGCTGCTGAGACCTGGGCTTCCCAGGGCAGGGTGCTGCCTGGCAGCCTTGGGCATCAGCAGACAGGGGCTCTCCTATCAGATTTAGTCACACTCTAAACTTGCTGGGTAGCTGTCCCTTAGACCCAGGGTTCTTGGCCACAAGCAGCAAATTCCCAGCATCCTTTGGGGTCCTCAACCAAGAAAAAAAATGACAAAATAAGAAACCTGTATAGGTTTGGCACCTTTGTGGGAAAGCTTAGAATCAACTCAATTTTAACCACGACAGCAAATTGTGACTGTAGGCTCGGTTGTGTGGGTGCCAAGGAGGTGTCAGAACTAGGGTACCCACAACTGTGTGCTGGGCCCTCTTGTGATCTACTGCAGCTGAGGGTGGCATGCTTTATGGGTGGCTTTCACAGCCTGCTCAGTTCCAGGACCCTATAGGTTCCCAGTCACCTTTGTAGAAATTGGTCTGGCAGATTGCAACCCATGGAGAGCTTTGCCCTTTGGGTTAGCAGAATAGCAACCACAAAGGGCTCTGAACCTGAGGCTAACCCTCTGTCTGGCCCAAAGAACCACCTGTTGGAGGCAGTGTCTCCTGGGACCATAAAGCTAGCCTGCAGTGGGCTTCAGCTTGTTGCTTCTAGCTGCATTTTGAAGATGAGAATTGAATCTGTCTGCTCTGTCCATGGAAGAAGCTATGGTGTGTCCAATCTGTGATTTTGGATCCTCAGCACTTTCTAGAAATAATATTTTCCTATTTTATACACCTAGAACTTTATATGGCTTTTACAAAACACAGTGACCCAAGTAAAACTAGAAAAATTCATCAAGCAATTTTTCACTTTGAGAGGTAGCCTTGGGAGGACCAGGCTCAGAATGCTACTGTGGTACTCATGTGCCTGACTGTGAGGGAGGCCTGGCCCAGGTTAACTTCTGGGCCCATAGTGGACCAGTCCAGAGGATCTGCTGTGGGATGAGCTGGAGGAATTGGTGGAAGAGGGGAGGCAGTTAGGTGGCTCAAGCAGTTCAGAGGGTAGAAGACCAAGGCCACATTAAGGGCCCACTAAGAGTAATTCATAACAAATAAAAACCAGAACATAAGGCGATTAGTGTCAGTTTCTAACTTAATTACCTTATTTGACCCATTTATTTTATGCCTTCATTTACCTGTGTGTGTTGATGACCCTCTCAGCTCCAGCCACCTTCCTAGGTTCCTAACCTGCCATTCTCAGTCCCAAAGCCTATAGTCCCTTAAAGGTAACATTTATCATTGTTCACTAAGACTGTTTCTGGGGCTGGGAATGTGTGAGTATTTCAGTGGTAGACATTTGTCCAGCATGTGCAGAGCCCTGGGTTTTCTCTCCAGTAAAGGTAGGGGAGGGATATTTCCAGTGGGACCTCAGTAGAATTATTGGCCAGGTGGAAGAATCACCTATACTAACCAAGTGGCACATCTGCCTCGCCTGAGAATCCTGCCCCCGAACAGCAGGGCCTGCTACACATGTTCTATAGCTTGCACAGCAGAGGAAAATCATCCCTTTCCCTGGTAGTGAAAGTGTAACTGGTTTCTGCTCAGCTTCCCTAAATCCTTGTTTGACCCCACCCTAGGGTGAGGTTCGTACCGCAACTCGTCTCCCCACTCAAGGGCCACCCCACGCACATTCAGGGGTGCTCGCAGCTGTCCAGGGGACACTGTTTAGGCATGGTATGCTTCACATGGGTGGGATATTAGATTTAGGAATAGTGGCATGGAGACATTATGCCCTGGTGAGGACCATCAGGTGGCATCTAGGTGAGGGAAAGGCCTGCTCATTGAGCAGCTGGTCAGAGGAGCCATTGGTGCTCCTGCTAGGGTCAGGATTGTCCGTTGGATCTTGAGACAACAGTCAAGGGCACTTAGAGCTCACAGAGCCAAGCTGAGAGAGTCCAGTGCTTATCAGAGTGGGTATTTAGGTCACCAGGGGAAGTGGCAGAGGCAACACAGTATGCACAGCCACCCCAGTACCCACAGCCATGGGTGCCTCCCTGCCTCTGCCAACCTTCCCCAAGCTGGGGACAAACAAGAGTTTCTGAAGACAGACCCAGAGGTCAAACTTGTTCTTGTGTAAGGGCTCCATGGCCAACAGACCTTTTTTCTGGAAAAATATTAATAGCTGATAATTTTAGGAAATGTGCTTTCAGAGTGAAGTGCGACTTTTTAAATGAGAAACAGGAAGCTCTTAGAAACTACAAGATTCTAAATGTAATCAGATGGCTATTTTTTATCCTTGGTGTTTCTATGGCTGTCCTTAAAGAGTAAATCATCCCAAATTATTTTCAACTGGTGTGACACATTCAGTCACAGCTGTTCTCCCCCTTTAGGCTGTCAGCCCCTTAGCAGAAGGGTCTTGAGGTAAAGAATGTGGCTGTAGGTCTGGGATTTGACGCCCTGCCCACCCCATCCGGGCCATGACTGTCCCAAGAGCCCTGCCATTCCTTCCTCTACCAGGGACAGGGCAGATCTGGCCTAGCAATGAAGGACGGACATGAGGACCTGAGCCCCTGTTCTGTGGCCTGGCTAGTAGCTTTCCAGGTAAAAATGAAATGAATGGGATGTGACAAGGTGTGGCCTGACCACCACCCACAGACACAGCCTCCTCTGAGAGGAGAGAGGAGTGGCCACAGGACCAGAGAGGACAAGGATGCGGACTTAATCATAACCCAGAGAACGGGTACTGAGCACTCATCATCCTCTGAGCTCCAAACGCTCTTGAAACAGCCTTGCCTAGGCCCACAGTCTGAGCCCCTTGGATGGCAGCCAGCCCCATGGCCACACCAGGAGGAGCACTGTTGCCCGCAGTACCTTCAGGGACATGAAACTGTCTTTATTTCCTGAAAATCAGGGGGAAAATACATACATAATCCAGTTATCTTTTCACTAAGGACTAACACAGTGGCAAAGACACTTTTTGTGTTTTTATGACTGAAAGGCCCATGAAGGCAGAGCTAACTGTGGCCTGCAAAAGTTAGGACAGAGCCGTGGTCTAAGCCTCCCTGATGGGAACCCATGCACCACACCACATGCCACATGCTGCATTACACACAGGCCATGTCACACACATAACACATACACACACTTAGCACATTCACAGCACACATACACACTGCACATATACCATACACAGAGCACAACCTGTGCTACATGTGGTTCACACAACATAACCACACACATACGCACCATACTGCAGGATACTGCACACACACCACCTTATACAACCCAATGCACAAAAACACACTCAACAGATACATGACACACACATAGACCACAAATACACTACGTACATATGACACAGCACAACACATAGCACACAAAGAGAACGTAACACACATGAACATAACATGAACCTTACCACATGCATATGCACACACACACATATACACTCACCCAGAGCACTGCCAATCAGCCCTCATCTCCTGGGTGGGGCCAGCATGTCCCTGTCTACATGAACTCTGCTTACTTCTGGCCCAGGGGCAAACAGTGAAGGATGGGATTGGGACTCAGAGTTCCCACCTCACCCCTCATACCCACTTGTCCCAGAAAGTCTGGCAGAATGGGCCAGCTCTTGGCTCTAAGCTCCCTGTGTACACCTACACTGCCCAGCATTGAGCTTGTTGTGAAAGCCAGAAAACATGGTCTCCACACTCTAGGGGATCCAGAGCCCTGCTACTCCAGCTCTGCATGGTCATTTGGCTTGAACCTGTCTTGGAATTGTTGTCAGTCTACTGCTGAGGTCCAGTCAAGGACCAATGGAGCACACACATCCCCACCTCGAAGTATTAACATTCCCGCTGCAATGTTTAGGGAGATGTCTCTTCTACTCCATGACCACTTCAGGGAGCTGATTACATTGTCCTAATGATTTATACTTTAGGTGAAATAAATGCATGGCACCCATGAGTCCTTATTATAACATCATGGGTTTGTCTGGTCTTTTCTAGATGATCATTCCAGGGTGATTTTGAGCCAAGTGGATGGAATGCCCTGTTCAGACTACATCAATGCTTCCTACATAGATGTAAGTTGACAGTTTTCCCATTCCCCTGGCTTAGTACAACAGCACCCACTGGGCATTTGGGGGCTGAGTCTGAATCATGATCATGGACAATTTCCTCTCCAGTGCCAGAATGTACATTGTCACCACTCTTTGGGCCAGTTTGGCCACCCACATCCCTGAGACCATGAAGTCATCTACACTTTCCCAGGTAGCATCTGCATCAGAGGATCTGTGTCCAATAAGTCAAAGATAACACAGAGGTAACAAACCGTGTTCACTCTACAGTGGTGCCTCGGTTCACGAACTTGATTCTTTCCATGATTCTGGCTATAAACCAAGTTGGAAGAGAACCAAATCAAATTCAGTTTTTAGGTTCAATGTTATTTTTGTGGAGAAATTTGATTCAGCTTTCATTCAGTTTGGTTTGTGACCAGAATGAGGAAAGAAATGAGTTCATGAACAGAGGTACTATATAACTGACAAACTAGAATGACTTCAGTAAATTCTGACTCATTAAATAAACTGTGATAAAACCATATGTGGATTATTAAGAACTCATTTTAATTGATCTTTATAATATAAATTATAAAATTCTCATTTAAAATGCAAAGATATAAAAGACTTCTACATATTCGCCTGAATAAAAATCTGTAAATGTTTGTGCACCTGCTTGTGTGCATGAGAAGAGGGGAATTCACAAGGAAAAAAAAAACACATTAGAGAGGGAACATGTGAAAATAGCATTTATTTCTGAAATTGCCAGTGAGTTTTCTTTTCTTTCTAATTTTCTCCCTGTCTTTCAAGTACTCCATGGTGAGTATATATTCCTTTTCCAATAACAAGAGAGCCTTTCATCAGAGTTAATTCTGAATAACTGTAAATCTGGTTTTATTTTTCTAGGGTTACAAAGAGAAGAATAAATTCATAGCAGCTCAAGGTAAGCTTTTTATTAAGTTAATTTCTGAACATCATTTCAGTAAAATAACATGAATATCTATCTGACAACCAATACTAGGATTTTGTATTGGGTTTTATATGTATGTGTGTACTGCTATGTTTACTCTAATGCAGGCTGGAGACCCATGACACAATGTATGTGTGTGACAGGCATACACGCATACCTGTTTCCACTCCTGCATGGTTCCCATAGAAAGTGCTCAGCAGTCCACCATTCTGCCATCTTGGTGTTTATATTCGTTGTTAGGTCGCCTTGACTTTACCTCAGCCATCCAAGATTTGCATGGCTCTCAAGTGTTGGGGGCAGAAATGATCAGCTTTTTTAGAACCAGGCCATAGGCCACGCAGATCCATCTTTAACCCAGCACACAGTCCTCAAGGAAGCGTCCTCCTCCACTGGGCTTGAGTCACCTTCCTCGGAACTTGTGCTGCACTGTGGTTAGTCATTGGCAGAGCTAAGACTTCCTTTCCCCTGCTTCTTGCTCTTTGGCCAAGAGTCTGTAAGCAAGTTCCAAAATTCACTGTCTGTCAACATCACCTGGACAGTTTGTTACCAATCCAGATTCTCTGAGCAATAGAGAGGAACCACAAATACATGCGTATACAAGAAGACCTCAGGAATATGCCCTGCTGTGAGAAAACATGACAAATATTGGCCGAAATGGATAAAAGCATATTTTTGGTTGTAAGTACATACAAAGGATGAGGCAGACAAAGGCAGGGACTACAGTTCAAGAGAGAGGGAGACTTCCTCCTGCACCATCCTCTTCAGTGTGGAGCTCATAGCCTTGATATTTCAAAATGGCAATTGCAACTCCAGACATTACATCTGTATTGGAACAGGAGGGAGGCAGAAGGCAAAGAAATTTCTTGTAGCTGATAATCTAACTTTTGATCAGATGCTTCCCCAGGGACTTCAGCTCACATCCTATTGGACAGCACTGTGCTGAGAAATTAATATTTTGACAAAGGAAAGAGGGTTGGAAATGAAGGGTGAGTCATCAGCTTATGGTGTCTCTCTCTTTCTTGTTCACTTGCTCATTTTCCTTGTCTCTCTCTCACTCTGTATCACACACACACACACACACACACACCTTCTAATTCAGCCATTCTGGAGGGATCTGCTATTTTGAGACATAAGTAAGCCACTTTAACACACAGCATTAGACCCAGTGTTTGTCTGAAGACCCCTTTCTTGACCATGAATGTAATAATCTACACTTGACCCACCTGTTTGGCTAGCCTCCCACAGGGGTGGATCTCTGCAGAGCTCAGGCAGGGAAGGTGCAGACCTCTGCTGGCTGTGGGATGTCAGGGTCTGAGGTACCCCATGGACTCGTCTTGTTCCTCGAGGAAGGACTGAGAAGCCCTTTGGGGCTGGATGAGGTGCAGACCTAGGTCTTTGAGACTCCCCCTCCTGCCCTTACCTCTGAGACTGTCCTCTCTCTTAATAGGCCCTAAACAGGAGACTGTGAACGACTTCTGGAGAATGGTCTGGGAGCAAAAGTCTGCCACTATCGTCATGCTGACAAACCTGAAAGAAAGAAAAGAGGTAAGTACTCCTACTCCTGCCCATGAGGACCTTCCCTCCAGCTGCTGCTTAGCTGGAGGGTTCTGACCACTTCCTTTGCCTATTTCCCTTCTTTCTAGTGGTGCAGGAAAAAATTACACTCAGTATTTCATATCACTTGTATCTTGAAATAAATTCTTGCTGTCCCCAGCTACCAAATATCAGCAATGACGGCATAGTTTCCCAGGCCAGCCCATGCTTCTCCCACTGTGAGTGGAGGCAGAGATTTCAGAATTGAGATTTTGAATGAGTTAGGCATAGAACATAGTGGACCTCAGACAGTGAATGAACATGACCACATGCGTATCATCCAGACTAGAGAGATGCACTTGAAAACAAGTATATTGAAGGAATGAATGGACAAAGACAAGCTGAGCTGCCTCCATTCCTCAGGGAACAACTCCCCATTAGCATCTGCTATGCTAGAAACCAGGAGCCAGGACAGGGGTCCCAGTGCAGGGCTGAAAAGGAGGGGCAATCAGAGGTCTTGGAGGCTTGGAGCCATAAGCAGGATCTGATGTCAGTAGTGAGCACACTCTCCAAATAAAAGAATTGGGAGCCCAATGGAAGCTTCTTTGGTGAGGAGATGGAGTTGGGAGACTGTTTCGAGCACATTGTAGCATGAAGGTTTCACTTCCAGGAGACATCTGTTCTAATCAGCCCCCTGCCTACAGCTGTCAGGCACTAGAGGTGCTGGGCCAGCCTGCAGCAGTGCGCAGGGGTGCCAAGGGCTGAAAGAGGCTCTGCAGTTTACAGATGGAAGTGCCAGATCCCAGGGAAGTCACACAAAGGGTGAGGGCCACAAACACTTTTGAAGCCACCTGGGGTGCCATGCCAAAAAGTTACTGATTCTGGTCTTCTGGTTGGTCAAGGATAGGATTTTTCTTTTATTATTTGGCAGGATGAGGGAGTGTCACAACTTGTTCCTATATGACTCCTGCCCTTGTCATAGAAAGAGTGACAAGAAGGAAGTGGAGGATTCTTGGGCACAGGACCTTTCCTTCACTGGAGTGCTGGGAGGAGAAGCCCCACACTGCCAGGGGCCGGTCTTCCTGTGAAGTCCCACAGAGACCAGGCTTCCCAAGGGCTGCTTCTCCAAACATGAAGCGTGAGACCAATACAGCAACTGGGCCTGAGGGCGCCCCCATGTCCCCCAGCATGCTGTCACCACATTACATGGCATTTCTCTCCTCTCTTCTTCCATCACCTCCTACTGTGATTTTCCATTCTCATGACTCAGTGCTGCCTGAGGGGCCTCTCAGTTTCCACCATGTCAGATGAAATCGTTTCTCAACAAAGTTCCCCTTTTTTTACTTGCTTACACTTCTGTCGTGGTCTCCTTGGTATCCACATCCTGGGTAGCGCATTGTGAAACACAGCTGGCACCTTGTGATTTGGTGGAGGAGGGTCAGGGTCAGCCACAAGCCACAGGGTGCCCACTGGGCCCTGAGACATAGTGCTCATCCCTGCCAGGACAAGAAACGTAAGGATCCCCAGGGCTTCTATCAGCACCAGACTCAGGACCTCTGGGTGCCCTGTGGCTAGTTCAGAGACATCCCGTGAACAGCAGATCAGTGGGAGTCAGGATGGAGGGGAGTATTTGATACCATGAATGTCATAATGCAAAGATGGTGGTCTGGCAAATACCAGCAACTCTTTTGTTTTATAACGTTCTGGATCCTGGGAACCTGACCAGTTTGCTATGCCACTCTGGGGCCATTTATGAGACCAACTGTTGGATGCCTGGAAGGCTTCTGAAACCCTGGAGATTCCCAGAGGGAATATTGAGCAGATCTTGGCCTCCTTGGGAGGTTCTCATTCATTTTTGTGTTCCGTGCTGTTAGATGACTCACTACTAATTAGGTGCCCGAGAGCCAGAAAATAAAAGCACAAACACAAGAACCATCTCAGATGGGGGAAAGGTAAAAAAACGGCCTCTCTGACAAAGTGCCACCTGAGATTCCCTCAGTTGCCTCTTCTTTGTCAGAGGATAACAGGGCTCATTAACTTGAGCCACTGAGAAGAGGCCACTCTTGAACAGAGAGTTGACAGTGCTGTAGTCGGAGGTCCCTACGGATGGAGCAAGAAATGTACAGCAAAGCCAGTGTGGGTGAACCTCATCCCAACTGGAAGGTCATTCCAGGTTAGGGTCCCCAGCTCTGAAAGGAGCAGGCTCTGCACTGCCAGATCAGTAAAGTGTGTGGTATTAGTGACCGAACGAATGAGACACCACTGGGTGGAAGTCAGAAAACCCAGGCCTAGTCATGGTCCTGGAGCCACCATTAACCAACCCTGTGGCCTCCCTTTCTCTATGTGTAGAGGAGAGGTGCTTGCCCACATGCTGACCCAATTCTAGTGGCTGTTGGCTCCACTGGTCCACGTGAGCCCTTTTGTGGGTGGCAGGAACAGGGTTACGAGACAGTGTGTGAGGCACGAAGCACACCCACAGATGGATTGGTGTCTATGAATTGTCCCATGCAGGAAAAGTGCTATCAGTACTGGCCCGACCAGGGATGCTGGACCTATGGAAACATCCGGGTGTGCGTGGAAGACTGTGTGGTGCTGGTGGACTACACCATCCGGAAATTCTGCATACAACCCGTAAGCCCTTCCCGCAGGTGACCTCCTGGGAGCATTATTCTTTGAGAGCACAGGGTCAGGGGCAGAGACCTGTCTGCATTTTATAGTGTGAAGAACTGAGCCGTAGTGGCCGGGCATGTGACTAGGCAGGTTGGTGGTGGGAAACAAGGCAGTCAGCCCAGAACCTGATTCTGCCAGATGCTGGTGCTCCTGCTCCTAGTAACTGCTGTGGGCTTTCCAGGGGGGACAGGACAGTGGGGGAAAGGAACCAGGTCCCTCTCAGGAATTCGATACCATTTTACACGCTGGAATTGCGAGACAGCATTTTTTAATAGTTTCGAGATCATGTCTGAAATCCCCTCGTTATTTTTCACACTTATTTCCTGCTAGTTCTCCTTAAAAGGACAAAAGGCCAATTTCAACAAAAATGCCTATGAACAAGGCCGATGAGATAGAGATTTAAAAGCTATTTTGAAACCTTGGTAAAAACAAAAGGTCATTTTATCAGAAATCAGAGAGTGGTATGATTAGATTGCAAACTATGAGGCCCAGTTTCCTAGAAGCCATAGCAAAAGGTAGGGGGAGAGTGATTATTACTGTTGTTATTGCTCTCCCTTGATTACTTTCCTAGACACACATGGGCATCCGCACACACCCGCGTGCACACAGACAAGCACACGTGCATACACATACACAAATATATTTCCAAATATACTGTTGAGAACTTCTAAGTCTGGGGCAAGTGAACAAACTCATGGGCTCTGGGTCATGAAAGCTGAGAGGCCATGAGGAAGGTCTGGGGACTCCAGTGCTAGGCAAACCCCATCATCTTTTCTTTCTTCCCAAATTAAAACACTGTATGAAAGACGGAATGTGCGGTTGATAATCACTCAGAACCAGGGACTGTCCAAGCAGAGGAGGATAAGGCACTACCTAATGGGGAAGTGGGGGGGAATCACTGGGATTTGGGGACAGCTCTAGGATGTCTGGCTACTGGGACCTGCCTGCCCTGGGCATGGCTAGGTGCTTGTGTCTCTGCGCTGGGCCCTCTGCAAGTGCCTGTGGTGTCCCATCCAGAGCCAGCAGTGGAGACCAAAGATTTCTGTCTCAGGCATACTGCACATGGACAGACATTGGTCTCCACATGAACTCGTGCTGCCACAGCCTAGCTGGCACTGTCGATCCCATGCAAGCATCCTCCAAATAGCCAGAGGTGAGGGTGTTCCATGTGTCCCCTCACGTTTCCCTGCAGCAGCTCTCCGATGGCTGCAAGGCACCACGGCTCGTGTCTCAGCTGCACTTCACCAGCTGGCCTGACTTCGGAGTGCCTTTCACCCCTATCGGGATGCTGAAGTTCTTGAAGAAAGTGCGAGCACTCAACCCCTCGCATGCTGGGCCCATCGTAGTCCACTGCAGGTATGTCCAGGAGGGGGCCAGAGCGGGGGATAGAAACCCAGCGGACTGGGTTTGAGAACACCCAATGGACTGACACTGAGGTGGGCAGAGGTACAGACTAAGGAAGTGGACATGAATATGCATTTCCTGGGGCACAGCTCAGATTGCCCCGCAGAGAAAGCCAGAGGGAAGGAAGCCCAGAGCCTCTCTGCAGCTCATGCAGAGTGGTAGCAGTGCCCCCTCTCAGAGGCATCTGAGGAAGAACCCCCTACATAAAACTGACCAGAGCAGAAAGGCCAGGGTTGATGGTGGGGGTAGAGCTCTGGGCAGGTCCACTTGGCCTTTTCAGGGACACCTAGGATCCCTTATCTCCCAGGGGACATATGCAGTATACCCACCTTTCTCAGGGCACAGTTACACTAACAATAGCAGGAATAAAATGTTTGGTGGTACAGAAAAAATTATCCATGTAGTCTCATGTCTGAGGTTATTCGCTGATATTGCAACACCCTCTGGTGGCCTCACTCAGACTTACTTTTTGTTCACCAAAGTAAAATTGCCATTAAGTAATTTTGAGAAAGACTAGGTCCTCTGTCCTGGCTTTCAGGTATCTTCCGAGCCTCTGTTACTTACTTCAGTGGAGTGTGACACATAGAATGACATGTGTCTTCTTTCCCAAAGTGCGGGTGTGGGCCGGACGGGCACCTTCATTGTGATCGACGCCATGATGGACATGATACATTCAGAGCAGAAAGTGGATGTCTTCGAATTTGTGTCACGAATCCGCAATCAGCGCCCTCAGATGGTCCAAACGGATGTGAGTGATGCCTCTTCCAACCCTGGTCTGAGCTTCACAGAGAAACCCAGGCACGTGGGATTCAGCCCTTGGGTACTCTATGGGCCCTGGTTTTGATGGGCAGGTAGCCACAGGCCATGAGCAGCTGATGTCCAGCATCAGACCTGGCTTCCCACCCATTCTGTCCCTTCCTCCCCCGGGGCCTTCAGGGAATGTTCACCTTCATCCGGAATCCTCATACGTGGTGGGGTGATTATACTAGCCCCATGATGGTGCCAGGTGTTCTCAATAAATTCCAGCTGCCACTTAGGAGAGCCTAAATGGCCAATGAACATGGTCAAATATCTAACTTGTGCCCTTAACCTTCGTCCCACTGACCAAAAGAGAAAACAGCAGCCCTCCTGGCCCAGGGCAGAGTCGAAGGTAGTGTGCCCTGTGTCCTGCAGGTACAGTACACATTCATCTACCAAGCCTTACTGGAGTACTACCTCTATGGGGACACAGAGTTGGACGTTTCCTCCTTGGAGAGGCACCTGCAGAGCCTACATGGGACCACCACTCACTTCAACAAGATCGGGCTGGAGGAGGAGTTCAGGGTGAGTGTCGGTGAGACTCCCTCCATGTTCAAGGGTGGGTGACCAGAAGAAAAGGGAAACAGAAGCTATTAAAATGAGGCCTCTTTCAATCACTCACCTTCTTTGCTGACCCCAGAAAAGCAGGGAGTTTTGGGGGCAATAACTTTGTGACTTGCAGGTGGGTGGAGGCCGTATTTATTTCCTAACACTGAGGCAGCTTTGTGAGATAGAGACATGAGTTTTTGTTGTTTTGTTTTGTTTTTTACTGGAGATTTAGTCCAGTGCTTTTACACTTTTATTTACTGTCTATTTTAAGACAGTGTCTTATGAAGTCACCCAAACTGGGTTTGAACTTTGACCTCCTTCCTTGGGCTCCCAGAGTGCTGGGATTACAGGCTTGCACCAACCATGCTCAGTGCATACTCCCTGTGAACAGAGCCCTGCCAGCAGGACTGGCGCATAGCTGCATGCTTTGTTCAGGGGCTTCAGAATTTTGGCTGCTTCATTGAGCTCTTCTCCCCTGCAGAAACTGACCAATGTCCGAATCATGAAAGAGAACATGAGGACAGGCAACTTGCCGGCCAATATGAAGAAGGCCAGAGTCATCCAGATCATACCTTGTAAGGCAGCACCGGGCTGGGGTCTCTACCCTTCGAGGTGGGCAGGGCAGGGCTGGGATGCTACTGGCTTTAGACAGAGAGAGGCCACTGTCCTCTGAAAAACAGCTTCTGGGAACAGGTGCCCTCAGGGCCCAACTCTGGGCTTCTGGGTGGAGTTCAGGGAAATAGGCACCTTAGTGACCCAGCCAGTCCCACGTGGATCTCAGGCAGGCAGCCTGGGATAAGGCTCAGCAGCAGAGCAGACTACAGGGAGGACTTGCAGAAGCCTGGAATTTGCCTCAGGCTTGACCTCGTACCTGATTCTGTGACTCATTCAATGCTTCCTTACATAAAGGAGAGAATGAGTGATGTCAGACCTGAAGTGCACTCAGCTAAACCTAAGAAAAGGCTTGTGCCTCAAAGAGGGTAAGACGGGCTGGAATAGAGCCAGGATTTGGGCCTGCCATTGAGGTTCTGAGTTAAGGGGCAAAGGTCAGCAAAGGAGGCAGGAATCCACCTCTGGGGTCGCACCCAGTAGGAAAAGAGAAACCCCCACACAAAAAGTGAGCTGAGGAGGCATTGGGAGAGCACCCAGCTCAGGGAGAAGAGGCTCAGCCGAGTGGTAAATGATGTATCCTCGCCAGGCTCTGCAGATCCTCACCGTGGTCAAGTGGCTGCGTGCTGGCTTGCTCCACCACTGTCACCTGTGCTACAGGGAGCAGACAAATCTGCCCCAGCACCTGCCCCTGGCTTCTCACACCTGCAGGTTCTGTTGCTGTGGGTCATAGTTCTTTTATTCCTTAAATACAGTGTTTGTTTGTTTTTTTTAAATTTTTTTTTTTTATCGGTACCAGGGATCGAACTCATGACTGCCTGCTTGCAAGGCAGGTGCTTATGCCGCTGAGCTAAATCCCCAGCCCCAAATGCAGTGTTTTTAAATGAAAAGTAAAAAACATACCTGGATTGTTTTCAGAGCTTTCCAACAGACAAAATCTTTCCTGAGCCATTTTCTCAGCGTAGACCATACACTTCTCAAAGAGTTTGCTTTGCCTGGTTTATTGATAGGCTCTATATTTTAGAAGCTTGGAGCAGCAGGTTAAAGTTTGTAATGCACTAGGACTGGGAGTGTAGCTTAGTAGCACAAAACTGCCTAGCATGCATGAGGTCCTGGTTTCATTTGTAGCAGCATCAGAACTTTTGCAAGGCAGGATTGTACCTGTACTAACTACAGGAAATGCCACTATTTTGCAGATGACTTCAACCGAGTGATCCTTTCCATGAAAAGGGGTCAAGAATATACAGACTATATCAACGCATCCTTCATAGACGTATGTATCATGGCCACGGTGTGCTTTGTGTAGTGTGTGTGTCCTTCCTAAAGGACCACACACTTTTATTCATTCATTAACACAACAGAAAGAATTGACACGTTGCTGGCAATCATTTCATGAGCAGAAACACTTGCTTAATAAATTAATTGCTAACTTTGGAAATAGGATAGAGGCTCTCTCCAAGTAACTGGCTACTTTTCCCCTCTGCTTTTAGTGTTTGTTATACAGACTTCTATATCTAGTGCTCCTGTGTATGTTCCCCTGAGTGATTCCTGTGACTTGTTCCTTTATGGATAATATAATTGTGTTTAGGCCAAATGGGCAGTCCGTCCTCCTGCATGCTCATGTCAGCAGAAAAACAGGCACAGAAGAGCTCTGCCGCCAATTGTGTGTTAGTGTTCCCATCTGCAGTTGAGGAAACTGCCCCTGGTGTCAGTAGCATTCTAAAAAGAAACTGGAATTTGAAGCCCCTTCCTTGGATTCAAACCCAGGCCTTCTATGTCACCACAATGTGAATCTAGTGTCTTCTAGGCAAAGCAAGTGTCCTGTCTTGCTGCTAAGGTGTAAGAGATGAGGGACACATTTGTGTGCACAAGCGTGCCAGCTGGGCTTTGGTTCAGGCATGGAAGACTGCCTTCTCCCTCATCAGGCCTTGGGCTATCCTAAACATAGAAAACCAAGAGAAAACCAAGTCTGACCCTAACCTTTGCCCTCCTTTTAAAGGGTTACCGGCAGAAAGACTACTTCATTGCTACCCAGGGCCCCCTGGCCCACACGGTGGAGGATTTCTGGAGGATGGTCTGGGAGTGGAAGTGCCACACCATTGTGATGCTCACAGAGGTGCAGGAGCGAGAGCAGGTGAGTGGCCCCACTGTGCCCAGCTCCTCCAGGGCTGCTGCTCAGGACAATGTCTCACCTGGATGACTGAGGAGGGAGAGGTTGCAAAAGGCAAAGGTTTTATCTCACCTTTTGTTTCCTTTGGGGGGTGGGAAGGCAATGGGTAGGTTGGGTGGAGTGATTAACCATGTTTGCCTACTTAGCCAGCACTGATCTGCCTTGAATTTCTGCCATTTTGTATTTATCAGCATCACAACCTGTCAAAGAAAAGGGCTACTTTTCCTAATATCTAAAAACTTGGATGTGTATACATATCCTAGCTAATGTTCTCATCAAATTAATGGGTCAGATCTTTCTGGTTTCTCAGCAATCCATCCATGGCCTTCTTCAATAACATAGTAAACACTCATGAACTCACACCCACCTGAAAAACCTGACTTTTATCAGTAATGTGCATCTATATAGCTCCCCCAAGATACCATCACTCCTCTGAGTTTGTGTTTTGATTTCTTTGCTTTAAAACAACTAGTTGAGCTGGGCATTGTAGTGCATTCCTATAATCCTAGCTTCTTGGGAGGCCAGAGCTGAGGTAGGAGGATCATACATTCAAGGCCAGCATGGCTAACTTAGCAAGACCCTGTCTCAAAATGAAAAATTGAATAGTTTTATTGAGCTATGATTCATCTAAATTCATCGTTTTAAAGGGTACGATTCAGTGAGTTTTCATGATATGCAGAGTTGTGTAACCATCTCCTCTAATTCCAGACTGTTTTCATCCCCTCGAAAAAAGAACTGTACTATAAGTAGTCACTCCCCATCCTGCCTTCTGCCCATCCCCAGCTACCATTGATCTACTTTCTGACTATGAATTTGCACATTGCAGACATTAATATAAGTGGATGCATCAGTACATGTATGTGGTCTTTGGAAGTGAGTTCTTTTCCTTAGAATGATGATTTCAGGGTTCCTTGTTGTAGCATGAGGAAGTACGTCACTTCATTCTTTTTTATTGACAGATAGTATTGCACTGTAAGAATACACTACTTGCATTTATCCAGTGATCAGCAATTATGAGTAACATTGCTGTGGACATTCCTGAACAAGCTTTTGTATGGCCCTGTTTTTCAAGGGAGTGTTTGTTTCATTTCTCTTGGGAACATACCTGCCTGATATTATAACTCTGCATTATGAACTTTTAATTATGTAATATTTTTAATGCCACTAGCAATATACAAGTATTCTGATTTATCCCCCTTTCTTGCCAATGCTTACATTGTCTTTTTATCAAAATCATCCTAGTGGAGGTATTCTTTGCTTTTTAAAAAATACTTTAAAGTCAGCTAGGTGTGATGGCACATGTGTGTAATGCCAGTACCCTAGAAGCCAAGGCAAAAGTATGAAGAGCTCCTGGCCAACCTGGGAATTCAAGCTTGCGTTCAAAGACATTTAAAAAAAAAGCAATTTAAAATCTTATATTCTTATGCCTAAGGAAATTATTGTGTAGTTTTGCTTATGTTTGAATTTTATATAAAGACTATGGTTATAATGTGTAATCTTTTGAGACTTGATTTTTTTCCACTCAAAATTATGCTTTCGATCTTTTTCTATATTGATGTCTGTAATTGTGATTCATTCATCATCATTTTGTCAGTATATTCCCCTATACAAATCATGTATATTGTGTCCACTTACTTATCCCTTCTCCTATCATAAGCATTTGGGTTGATTTTATTTTGTTGTGCCCAGAACCTTCTTGCACATGTCTTATGATGCACAAGAGTTGATTTATAGTAGAGACAAAACATCACATTGGAGAGTATATGAAAATATTACTTTGCAAGATAATTGATAATTCTGTTCCAAAGAGGTTTCCAAAGTGGACCCCAGAAATGTATAAGGCAATCTTTCATTGATTCACTTAATATTCTCAGCATCCTGGCCTTTATGAATTAAATAGATACACATATCTTTCTGTGACTTTAACCTGAATCTCTCTGATTCTCACAAGGTAGAACATTACTTTGTGTATCTCCTCTTGTGTAAAATGCCTGTTCTTGCTTTTTGTTCATTTTTCTGAGTTGTTTGACCTTTTATTATTATTTTATAAGATTTCTTCACATATTTTTGATATTGCCTTGTGTTGATTTTGTACATTGCAAACATCTTATTGCAGTTTGTGGCCTATATTCTCACTCTCTGTGATGCTTGTTGATGAAGAGAATTTTATTATTATCTGATGTGTCTATGTATTGCCTCATAATTAGTTAGCTCTTTTTATGTCTTATTTAGTAAATCATTGTGCACCACAAAGTAAAAGAATAATTTCTTCTGAGAGTTTCACAGTCTTGTTTTTAGCTTTTAAGTCTCAATCCATCTGGGTTTGTTTTTAAAATTAAGGCTCAATACTGCTACACATAGTGCAATTCATATGTGCCTAAATCTAGGAGAAGTTGGAGCTTTCATATCCACTCTGCAAGCTTCAAGGCTTCACTTACGGAATAATCTCTCCTTTCTGTCATGTATTCAAGTTCCATATATATGTGTCTCTTTCTTAGTAAGTCTATTCTATTCCCTTGTTCAATAGGCATTCATGGGTGCTCATTGCTATTTTCTGATCAGATCGAATAGATTAAATGGTTTGGGAGTAAGTAAGTCAACATCATAAGGTCAAAAGTGGTAGCAAGTTATAACACGTAAAATTTTATCTTATCCCCTAAGGATAAATGCTACCAGTACTGGCCAACAGAGGGCTCAGTTACTCATGGAGAAATAACAATTGAAATAAAAAGCGATACCCTGTCTGAAGCCATCAGTATACGAGACTTCCTGGTGACCTACAATCAGGTAATTGTTGCTATAGATTTTAAAACTCTAGTAGACCTAACAACATTATCACTCAAGGAGCTGCTTGTCATTGTGCCAGAATGGGGCCCTGTACCTTGTGTCATGCTCCATCCACCTTTACCTGAGTTCCAGATTACCATGAATGGCCCATTAGCAGGACTCGCGTAAAAGTGGACCTCAGTGGTCACCTGTGTCCTAGTTGATAGACAGCGATGACAGGGCAGAGAGCCTGGCCCATCCCACTTTGCTTTCTCCCACAACCCCTCAGGAGAAGAACTTTTGCAGGGGCAAGAGGTACAAAGGGGAAGTCTGCAGAGGCCAAAAGGGACCCTTTTTCAGGGGCTTTCTTAGAACCCCCAACCATCCCTGTTCCCACCGGGTCCTGGACTCTGTTCACGCTGGCAAAAGATGGAAAAGCTTGTCAGCTGGTGAAATGACTCACTAGTGGGACTTTGTGCTGCATTCAAGATGGTCAGCACAGGGAAACTCAGCTTGCACAAAGGCTGGCTGCTCTCGGGGCCAGTATCAGAAGGACCCACCCCACCAAGATGCATCTCTAGCCTCAGTGGGAAATGCAGGGCCTGGCTTCCCAAGAGAATTCCCTTCTCTGGAGCATGGCAGCCAGGATTCTGTAGAGGGTTGAATGGGCTTGACTGGCATCCAAGGCATCCTCTGGACATCTTGACCCAGACAGAAGGAAGCACAGCCAACTGCTATGCTGACCCTTCAGTGACTAGGTGGGGACATTGAGGGCATCAGAGGGTTTGGGATGGGGGACTCCAAGCCCAGACCCTGACCCACAGGAGGGTGGGTGAATCCCCAGCAGGGCAAAAGCCAGTACCACTGAAAGTCGCCTCCCATACAGCAGCTGACCCGCCAGGAGGAGCAGACCCGCGTGGTGCGCCAGTTCCACTTCCATGGCTGGCCTGAGATCGGGATTCCAGCTGAGGGAAAAGGCATGATAGACCTCATCGCAGCAGTGCAGAAGCAGCAGCAACAGACCGGCAACCACCCCATCACTGTGCACTGCAGGTGAGTGGCCCACTGTAGGCCAAGGGCCCTCTCCCTTTGGGACAGCACAGACCACACACAGCTAGGGTAGGAGAGGGAGCTGGGTCATTGCTGCCTGTAGCATTATTTCCCTAGATTCTGTGTTACCTTCACTTACACACATGCAAACATAACCCTATAAATGCATGAGCAGCACATCTTGTCACACATGTGGCATACATCTGTGGGGAGGAGTTGGGAAAGAACCCAGGTGCTCATTTCCACACCCAAACGCTTATTCCTACATGCTGTAGAAGGCCTCTAAGCTCCCCAACAAAAGATGCTTGCCTCTATTCTGCACGTTGTGTTTCTCACTGCTGTGTCCACACCTTGTGTTCTCTCTTCTGTACTTAGGAAGGTGTTTCTGCAGCTGCAGGGCAGCCCAGGGTATTTATCCTGGACTGTGGAGTGGAGTTGGGGGTGGTGTCTGGATTCAGATTGCTAATAGAGACTGTAACCACACTTATCCCCACAAATCAAGCATGAGGCCTGAGACAGTGCCAGGGCCACAGGGTGTACCCCAGCAAAGACCATGATAAGCATCATAGGGAGGGCAGTTAAGGTGAGTCTTGCAAAGCTGAAGCCTCAGCTCCCCTCTCTCCCTGACCATAGTTTCTGGCTGTGCCCAGCGCCCCCTACTGGGGAAGATCTTGGCCACTCTTGCAAAACTCTTCCAAACAGCAGTTTGAGTGATTTTATTGTTGGGTGGTGCTAATTTGCTTTTCCAACTGCAATTCTGTTTGTTTCCCACCTATGTGATTCACAGTTTTGTGACTACATTTTGCCCGTATTCATTACTCCAGTCTCTGTGGCCAATGAAGTCCCTGCTTAACTAACAGGGTTTGAACCCCAGTTACCTGACTGGAATGCACCTGGGCACACTCCAAGCTCTGCAGAAGGTAAACCACACCCACTGGATTTCACAGTGAACTGGAAAGGAGTGCCTTCTGACTCAGCCTCTGCAGATGCAGGCTATCAGTTTAGCATGTATAGGGCATAGGATCCCCAACTAAGGGAAGTGAGACACAGGGACAAGTGACAGCCGCAGATTAACAGCTACTCAGTATGTCAACGTGTGAGGTCCTGGAGCCCCCTAAGGACAACTATGACTCTGCAGAAGGCTCTAGACCCCACCTCCTCTGGGCCTGTTACCTGGACTGTCCTAAGAGCAGCTCTTCTGAGGTCAGCACAACTTCTCAAGCAAGTGATCATCTTAAGTAGAATCAATTCTAATCATCATCCCTGGGACTGTAATCATCTTACTTTTCCTGGCTGTGTGTGCTACTGTCTTAATAGTCCTTTAGTGCCACCATTCAGCATCCATCATTTGCTCCAGAGGACAAGTGCCAGGGTCACCTTCTTGATGTACCGGACGTGAGGGGGTCTGCATTTCTAACCACTTCCTAGGTGGTACTGAGCTCACTAGTTCTGGGACCACACTGGGACCTATGGATCCACACAGAGGGTGGAGGAAGTGCTTAAAATCCTGTAACTGGTCATGATCCATTTCATGAAATCAGACCACTGTACTAAGCAAAGTGGTTTAGAATTTCATGGTTGCTGGATCTTGTATATAAATGGTCATGAAACATTCAGTCACATTGATTCTTTGCAGTGATCCTGCTTCAATACCAACATTCAGGGGACCATTTTTTTTAGCTGTGTTTCTTTCCCCATTAGTCTGATGGTCATCACTGAGTGCTTTCTCCCCACAGTGCTGGAGCTGGGCGAACAGGTACCTTCATTGCCCTCAGCAACATTCTGGAACGTGTAAAAGCTGAGGGACTTTTAGATGTATTTCAAGCTGTGAAGAGCTTGCGACTTCAGAGGCCACACATGGTGCAAACCCTGGTAAGAACCTGAACTTTCAGGAGATCTCCAGAAGGGCGAGAATCATTTCATGTTTTTGATGCCTACTTCATTAAAGGCTCCCCAGGGTAAGAGGAAAAGGAAAGATACAATTCCCAAAGCAAAGAGCCACCTGCAAATTTTCATAGTAAAGGGACAGACCCAGATCCTTCTTTAGGTCTCTGCCTCAGATCTTTCCTTTGGACAAACCTCATGAGAAAGATTTCATTCATGAATTTCTGTTGCATTTTACAACATACTTTGCTGTTATCAGGTTCAAAAGCGGCACCAAAACTTAAAATCCTAGTACTTGTCGCTTTCAACTTTACACCTTTCATTTGGTCTGTCTCCCTGGTAGAATCGCACTTACCCTCAAGACCTTGCCAAGGGGAGGTGGGGAGCGTAGGAAGCCCATCTAATGTACAATTGCCCAACACATCCTCTTTCATTACATGGAAGCGTGATTTCTGGGTTTTGGAAGAAATTCCTCCTCATTAAATTCTGCAATGGCTCATCCTAAATCAACAAATGCAATTTTTGAAGGCTGTTATAATTCATCAGCTTCCTATTTAGAACTTACCCTTCCTTGCTATTTAGAACTCACACTCTCTTTCCAATCCTGGCTCAGACAGCCTGCACAGAAAGGTGGAGAAGAGGGCCCTCCCACAGTCCCCATCACAACAGGGCCGGTCGGTGCCCAAGCTTCACCTCTGACCAATTAAATGGAATTTGGTCTCTGGGATTGACACCCAGGCATCAGCAGGCCTACTTCTTGCTAAGTGATTCCAAAGTAAATGCAGGTTTGAGAGCCACTGGACTGGAAGGATATTGGGTGCTTGCTGGCTCCCTCTCACTCTACTAGTCTCTCTGCCCTGCCAGCTGTATCAGTGATGGGAACCCAGGCCTCTGACAGCAGTGAGAAGGAAGGACCTTGGGGTCCTGATGCCAACACTGCCAGTTTCTGTTAGGCTCCGAGAAGAGGCTGGAGAATCTCATGAAAGCCTGCTAGATGTTATGCTGCCTCGGGTGGCACAAACTGAACAACAGTGGTAGACAACACCATGAAGAGTTTTTAGATCAAAACATAATAGTGGCTGGATATAGTGGCACAGGCCTCTAATCCTAATATTCTGGGAGGCAAAAGGATTATAAGTTTGAGGCCAGTCTGGGCAGCTTATCTCAAAATAAAAAACAAAAGGGCTTGTAGCTCAGTGGCAAGTGCCCCTGGTTTTACAAAGAAAAAAGAAAAGACGAGAAATAAAAAAAATTAATAATAGTATTTAAATATCACTCCGAACCCCATTAGGAAATTCCACAAAAAGAAATCCAGCTTTCAGTCATGAGCCAGACTCTTTTCTGTTTCTTTCTGGTTTATAATTCTTTCCTGAGCAGCCTTTAGTCCTGGCTGGGCAGCAGTTAAATATAAACGAAAGATAAGGCCAAGGCTCAAGATCCCATTGACCCTTGATCTTCAGGTTGTCAACTTGGCTTCACAGGTAGCCTTTTATGGCTTTGTGAACTGGGACAAGTTCCTTCCCCTCTCTGGGCTCCAGTTCCTTTTTGTGGAAATTGCAGCTGGTGGTGCTTCCCTTAGAGGCACTATGCAAAATTCCCTTTAAATTCTACAGATTCCTGAGCCCAGAAGAGGCGCCTAGCAATTGTGGCAAAGAGCATCTCCAAGATGGTTTGGTTGAGGCACTAACAATTCTCATTATGTGCCTGGGCTGGCCCGTGTATTCTTTCCAAAATCATTCAGTGTCTAAGTGCCCTCCTGACTTGGTTCTGCCAGCTCTGTGCCCTGATTCTCTCTCCCTGCTCCCTCATGATAGCTACCTGGCTTTAGTCTGTGCTTTTCTTGCCCAGAGACAGTCTGCCAGGGCATTTTTAACCTGGTTTTTCAAGTCAGCCTCTGGGCCCACTCCCAGCACATAGTAAGTGCTCCCAGAAAAGCGGGTTAATTAGTAAACAAATGAGGGTCAAATGACTGCTGGGGTCAGGTACCTTGTAGGCATCTTTTGCGCTGTGTGTTCACCATATCCTTGTGTTCACTTCTACTCCCGAGGGCTGCCTATGTCCATCACTCAGGATGCTAAAGTGGGCGGCCCATGTTGCTCAGGAATTGAAGTGACCTGTTGGAATGAGATGTAAACCAAGTCCGTCTGGCTTCAGACCGCAGAGCACAATGACTGCTCCAGACCTCACACTTGGCAGGGATATTTTGGCAAATAGAACAGGGTGTGATTACATGATTAGGTAAAGAGTTGTGGTGTGTGGTTGACCACTGAGAGAAGAAGACCTGTTGCCAGCATCTGAGATAACCCTTGGTTAGAACAGGCATTCCAAAGGCCAGGAGGGTGATTGTCCACCCAGAGCATTGTGTGTTGGTCAGAAATGTCTGTCTGTGACCTGTGGTATGGCCAGTGTCATCCCAGTACTCTGCCAAAACACACATTATTCATCACCAGCTGCCAGTAATGGGTATGCAAGACACAACTAGGGTAGTAGTATCTTTGCTTGCTGTGAACACAGTCAACTCCATGAATAACCATTTCCATTTCTCTCCCATATTATAGAGTCAGCTTTGGTATTTAATTAATATAGCTTTTTAAATAGAAGAAATAGGAAAAGTCAAGTCCAAAGCCGCTTTGTACAGAAGATGCTTTAGGAGCATCACGAAGATACCTGCCTCTTTATAGATCTATAAATAATTTCTTTAGGAAATTTATTTTCCTTTTCCTTCCCAGGACTGGTGAATAGGTAAGAATCTTATCAGGCAGAGGCAACTTTCCTACAGTCCAGTCATAATCCTCCCACTAACTTCCTGCTATCTCAGGTCCAGAGTACCTTGTCCAACTTTCTTTCTCTGAAAAACTGAGTGCCAGCCCATCTTGACCAGACCAAGGCTTATGAGAAGGCTGAAGAGGCTCATGTTCAGCACCTTTCACTCCCAAGCCTGTGACATTTGCTTGATGTGTGGGATAATGAAAAGACTGAGTTTCTTGTGTTCGGAAAGAGGCAAGAATGCCGAGGGCAGCCCCCGCCCCTCAAGCCCCCTGAGTACTGCTTTCCAGTTCCGATGTCCCACTCACGTCTGCAAGAAACCAGACCTTTAGACATATCAGGCAGCTTAGCTGCTCGGTTGTTACCTGAGCCTCTGGGGTCACCTTCCTGCCCATTGATCATTTTGCTCACTTGGTTGTCTGAAAAATTACTATAACCCGTTCAGGAAAAGTTCAGCAATTATTATTTCCTCCGCATCTTTCTTCCTTCTGATGGAGTGCCCTTTACTAGTGGGTGACACAGTGTCACCCATTTGCCACCAGCCTGGCTCTTGTCCTCGCTGCAGAGAAGACAGAAAAGGTAACAGGCATGAGTATTATCATACCTGAAATACCTTATACCAAAGTAAGGCGATTACTCTGGGAAGTCTAGTAAAATTTGTATAAAATCCTATCTCTCTTATAGAGAGAATTTAGGCTTCAAAATAGTCTAGAATTTTATTTTATCTTGCTTAACATCTACATGTTGCTTTTTGTTACATTAGGAACTTTAATAATGTAGTTATGTGATCTTTCAGTTCAAAAAAATTTTAAACATGAAAACGACTTTCTATTCAGACCCTAATTTGAAACAAAATGTTGACATTCTTTGTAGGAAAACAACTTTCCTTGAAAATTTTCATGTATCTAAGAACCTAAAAACTAAATTATGTAACAGAAGCTGGTGTGCATAAAAACATAGTACTTTCTTTTTCTTTTTTGTTTTTTATTTTTTTGGTACCAGGGATCAAACTCATGACCTTGTGCATGCCAGACAGGTGCTTACACTGCTGAGCTAAATCTCCAGCCCAAAACACAGTGTTTTAATAATAAGCCAAATTGTTTCTATGTGGTCTTTTAATGTTTTTGATTGTGTTAATCAGATATAATTTTGGGACATCATTTTAATGTAACCTTGTTTTTCTTTCCAGGAACAGTATGAATTCTGCTACAAAGTGGTACAAGATTTTATTGATATATTTTCTGATTATGCTAATTTCAAATGAAGAGTCCTGCCTTAAAATATTTTTTAATTTAATGGTCAGTATATTTTGTAAAATTTGTGTTAATTTATTTCATAGTTGACATTAATATCCTTCCTAATTTCTTTGTATATATTTTGTTATGCTTTGAAGGTTACTTGCTGTAAAGTTATTAAATCTTAAATACCCTTTTTAAAAATTGGAATAATATATTAAGGTTGGAATTGGAATAATATATTAAGTACATACAAAATATATGTACTATATTTCTGCTAATATCAGTAAACATCTTAATTCTTCATTAGGTTCATGTAATATCACATGTTATGCATCTCTAAATCTTATAATTCTTAATATGTCAATTGTGCTTAAGCAAGACACTAAACATAAGATCCAAGAAAACAACCAAGAATTTAGAAATCAGTTGAAAACTCACTTTCCATAACTGATTTTACAACCTGGAGCAGCAGCAGTGGCTGCATGCCTGTAATCCCAGCACCTGGGAGGCTGAGACAGGAGGACTGGTGTGAGTTCGAGACCATCCTGGGCTACAAAGTGAGTTCAAGACCAGCTCAAACTACATAGCGAGACCCTGTCTCAAAAAAAAAAAAAAAAAAAAAAAAAAAAGTCATTGTAAATATTAACTTTTGTAAAGTCCTTAGTTGCAGACATGTGATTTAACTTTATCTTTTAAGGGTTGAAGACTTTCCCTGCTGAATACAGGTCTAGGACACAGTAAGGTAGCCAGAGACTGCACAGTAATATTTCTCAAGGCTGTGACTGTGCCACATTGGTTAGGTGAGAACGTCAGGCCATCCCAGTTCCCCGTGGCCTTGGGCACAAGAAAACCAGTCAATGGAGCTGTACTCCTAGAGTGCCACTAGCCAGCTGTCCCTCTGTCTCACTCAGAGTCCAACCCACGACATTTTTCAGTCTCTCTTCCTATTCAACCCCAGGTGCCTGATCTGGCCTTGAACCAGACCTGCAGGCTGCGTGAAACCACTTCACACGCAAACATTCAGAGAAACTGTCTTACACACGCACACAGTTGAGGAGCACACATGACCATGATACTTGTGCTGTAAATTTTCTGAGAAGCATTTTGGTATTTAAAGCATTTCTTGTAAAAAGCTAAAATGGTTTGTAAGAAAAGAAGTCTTAAAATCTAGATTTGTATAGTTTTTAAAGATCCCACTTCTCAATCTTTAATAAAAGAGAAACAGAAATGCTTAATCTAAAGTCTAACTTATTTTTGAATGCCTAGATCTTTGGCACTGGGTGATAATAATGATCCCAGTACCACAAAGGATGGAGGGAGGTGATGAGAAACAAACGTGCAAACTTGCAATGTAACAATCCTTGTCTTTCTGAAGCTAGTAGATGAGCACAACGTAATAAAAAAGAAGACATCTGGTCTACCTTACATCTGGTCTAACTTAGTTTTGGTACTTTTTATTTTTTTTTTGCTTTTAAAAAAACATGTCAAAATAAAAGGCCTTATTTGACATTCTGCTGAGACCTGATCGTGCCCACCTATTGCACTGTTTATCCCCTGTCTGTTCACAGTGTGTACAGGTGCGACCCCAAGGTCAGTTACTGTCCTCACCAGGCTCCAGGTCATCGAGCTCCTCTCCCATCCCACTGCTCTTGGCACCCAACTGGAAGGAGGAAAGCACACTCTGTGGCCACTGCCATTGCCACCAGCTGGGCTCCCCACTGCTGAGTGTGTCATCACCTCTGAGCAGTGATTAAGCAGGTGAAGGAGGAAATGGAAGGAGCTTTTCTGCAACTTGTCAGTTGATTCAATTCGTTTCCATTGTTCAAATACCACACTCAAAGCCTTTCTTTGACTAAAGGAGAAGAGAGGAAAATATGTTGTGTTTTCTGGTTTTTGTGGGGGTTTTTATACCGGGGATTGAACTCGACCTTGCACTTACCAGGGAAGCACTTGAGCCATTGAGCTAAATCCTGGGCTCAGAAAATATGTTTTTATTCAGCACCTGAAACCCAGTAGGATGAATATAACTGTAAACTGGTCATTTTTCAGAGCTCAAAGTTGAGGAGCATGCGGTCGGCCCCATTTTAGGAGTTGATAGTCAGAATCCTTGAAGTCCTTCAGTGGTCTGTCTGGCATGTCTTGTATCAAGAAGTGCCTTTATGGATAGATTCAGGGTGTCCTCAGGAAAGTGTTCTGTTTGCATTTTCCCTGCCCTCATCCACTAGGAGCATCCCAAGTATCCACTGCAAAGGTTCCCAAACTCATCCCATTCTGAAACAAACAGAAGCCAGAGTTGGGTGGACATACAGCCGGTTCCCCAGGCAGAGAGAGTGATCACTGAAGCCTCATGACCTTGGCCAAGGCCAAGTTCAGACAGTCTTCCTGTGTCTACAGATCAGCTGTGTGCAGAGGCAATGCTATCCAGGGGCCTTGTGTCTTCTCTGTGCACTTGGTACAGTCTTCTCTTCTTCCTTCAGTCAAAGAAAGTTGAGTATATTTAACAAAACCACCCAGCACTGGCAAGGACACTCCTCCTTCCACGTTCCCTCAGTTGCATGCAGTTGCATTCAAACGCCAAATAGTGATCAGAAGCTTCCCATTCTGATCCGAATGCCCATCAGTCACTGTGTGACTTACTTTATTCCTTCTTTCCACGTGCTAGATAAACGAAGAATGCATACTAGTGTTTTCAAAGGTATTTTTATGTGTTTTTAAAAACTTTTTAAAATGAACCTGTTACCTGTGTTTCAGCATTTGGAGATTGTGCCCACGTTATTTTTTTAAGTGTATGATTACTGATACAGTTTCATTTGTTTGTTTAACTAAGCCATGTTTAATTTATGTGTAATCTTTATAATATATGTATGTATTATGGTTCCAACTGTTATAGTTTCTTTTGTTACATTTAAATTTTGATCTTGCTCTTATTACAATGCCAGTGAATGTTGCTGAATACTTTGTATATGCAAATTGCAAGATCTAAAACATTCTGATCCGAGGATAAATCTTTACTTTGACTACCAGCCTGTGTCTCTTTCTTTACATTTTCTTATTTCATTCCTGTTTCTTAAATCCTTTTAGACAAGACATGCATTACTGGCTGAAAGTATACTTCGGGGGCAGACCAGTTACCTAACATGTATGAGGCTCCAGGATTGACCCCTAGTGCCACAAGAAAAAAAAGATATGCATTAGGAGATAAGAACTCATTGACTTACATCCATAATGTATTTTAGGACTTTTACAGCTTAGCTCCAGCCTGGCATAGAAATATCCCCTGAGCATGTGTGGTCCATCTGACCTGAGGCTGGCCCAGCTCTCAGCTGACCTGCAGAAGGCAGAAGACGTGAAGCATTTAGAAGGAGCCCATCTTCCTCCCAGAGTCCTGCTATCACTGTGAGCTTGGGCAGCGGCGTCCCAGGGTTTCTGAGGAAGATGGCCACGTGTTTTAAGGGTCACAGATAGGTTGAATCAGAAAATCTTTCCAACAATGTTTTCTTCCAAAACCCCAAACCTCTTCAGCTACCTTAGCCAGCCCTCCACCATGTATATCCTTAGATCTCTGATGATAAACACATCTCTTTACCTCCTTTCCACCCTCTCCCTATCCAACCTTCTACCATCCCTTCTTTCAGATGTAATGATGTTTGCCATCCTGATCTGTTTGGCTGCAGCTTCTCTTGGTCTGTGGGTACCAGGGTCCCTTCTTAGACAAACAGGGCCTCTGCAAACCTGGATTTAGACCAGGCACTTCCTGGTCTAAAAATGCAGACACATGTTGAGACCACAGGAAGGGAAGGAGGGACTAAAAGAAGAGTCACTGACTGGGCCTCCACCAAGGGCCCAGTGTCCCCACCAGCACCAACTAAGTTCACTGCGAAGGGACAATCATCAGGCCAGTCGCAAAGGGGGCCTGGTGCAGAGACATCTCAGGGTAAACAGGAAGGTTAATGATGGCACCAAGTAGGGTTGCTTTTCAGAGGGTTCACGTGGCACTTCCAGCCACTGGAGATTTCATGGAATACAGAATCAAACCTTCACCCTGCATCTAAGCTCTAACTTGAGTAGAGTTTGGCATCCAAGAGGGTAGCCTGCCACCTACAGATGGAGGTCCCTGTTATGGGGTGAATTGTGTTCATTACCCCATTACTTCGGAATATGGTCATATATGGAGATCATATTGCTGTAAATTGAAATATGATCATGCTGAAGTGAATGGGTTCTGATCCAGCATGACCCTTCCCTTTGATAAAGGGAAATTTGGACACAGAAAAGGAAGACCAAGGGAGAAGCGATGCTTCTACAAACTCAGGAATCCCTTAGGCTGCCAGAAACAGGGCATGAGCATAGCACAGATTCTCCTTCACAGCCCTTGGGGGAAAGAGCTCTGCCTGTACCTGTTTTCAGGACAGGGTTCTGTCCTCCAGAGGTGAGAGAGAGCAAATCTACTACTTAAGCCACCCATTTTGTGACACTTTATTACTATAAGCTTGGCAAACTATTATGTCCCAAACACACAGCCCGAGGCCTCCTCCCCTTTCTATGGTCTCAATATGTGTGTGCATCTTTAGATGTCCAGGTCTGCTCACTCAGAGGAAGTGCCCGAGGTTTTAGCCAAAGGCAGAGCCTGGAAAAAGGACATGAGAGCAAGTGGTTTAATTGAGAGGAGATCCCAGGAGGCAAGATTAGGGGACAATAGCCACTGAGAAGGACACAACTAAGACCACTGCCAAGACACCCAAGGGTCCCCCAAAATCATCTTGGTGAAGGTCAGGATGCTGCCATGCTGATCTGAATCTCTTGTCTCTTCAAACTCCCCGGGTTCAAGGTTGTCTCCAGGGGCACTAGCTCCCTGGTGGGTGTGGGTCACACTTGCCTCTGGGCCTTCTGTCGATGGCCTGAGAAGGGTGCAGGGAATCAGACAGAACAACCAAGGCACCTGCTGGGGGCACCAGGCTCTCAACCTTGGCCTGTACCTGCTGACATACTGGACATGCAGCTGTATTGGGGAAGTAGGGTGTGGGCCTCAGGGGTCTTTGGGCAAGGAGGGCACTTCAGGGGTCTTTGGGCAAGGAGGGCACTCTTCCTCCCCAGCCGAGGAAGAGAAAGAGTGATGGCTTAGCCTGCTACCTCTTCATCCATCACACACTAGCTGGCTTACCCTCATCTCAGAGAATGAAGCAACACCAGTAACACAGGTGCATGTGTTTGTTTTAAAAGTTCAAATCAATCAGGAATATACAAAGAGAATACAATGTGAATGGACCTAGTCCTATGCATACCTCCTCACCCTTCTCAATTCACTGATTATTTTGGGGTCCTTCGCCAAAATACCAACTCTTTGAAATTTAAAGTTTGGTTACAAAAACATATGCACAAAATTTAAAAAGAAAATACTGAGATTCCATCTCATTCCAGAAAGAATGACTGTCATCAAGAAATCAACCAACAGCAAAATCTGGCGGGGCTGTAGGGAAAAAGGAACACTTCTCCACTGTTGGTGAGAGTGTAGACTGGTTCAGCCACTGGGGAAATCAGTATGGAGATTCCTTTAAAAACTAGGATTGGAGGTCCTATTCAATCCAGCTATTCTCCTTCTGTGTATTTTCCCATATGTCATGTCACAATGATATATGTACATCTATGTTTATAGAAGCAAAATTTGTAGTAGCTAAATCTTGAAAACAACCCAAATGCTCACCAACAATGGAATGGCTTAGAAAAGATGTGGTATTTTTATGTAATGGAATATTACTCAACTATAAAGAATAATAAACTTGAGGCTTTTGTAGGTAAATGGGTGCAATTTGAAACCACACTCATAAGTGAAATAAATCAGAGTCTCATGTGCAATATCATATTGTTTCCCTAGTATAAAAAAAACTGAACGAGTAAATAAGATCCAAAATATACATAGATATTGTGAAAATGAAAGGGAAAGCGAGTACTTGAAAGAAAACTGGGATGGGGAAAAGAGAAAAGAAAGAAGGAAAACGGTTATATGTATATAAATACATATACACATACCCACACACAAGTTAGATAACTACTACTAGTCTCTGTTAGTTCATCAAAAAGAACAGTTTGTGCTTTCATTGTTTGATTGATCATTTTATGACTAAATCTTTTAGTTTAAACAACTACTTTGAAGATAATAATATGCAATATATTAACTAGTGTTAATTTCCTACTATTTTGTTTTGAAATTCTGTATCATCATTTTTATTCTTTTGTGTTACTGTTTTGTTTTTAAATTTTAAAAATGCACAATTTGTTTTTGTTTATAAAAACAAGTCAGACTCCTGATATCAACAAATACTTTATGTTCCGCCAAAATAGCAAAAACATTGCCCATCATTCCTCACAAAATGCCACCAATTTTGAGATTCTTCTCTGTGTTATAGAGGTTTGTACTGAACATTTTACATACTAGAAGTGACTAAATGTGCTGCACACAAGCATTTCTGGGAATCATACCCCTTGTTCACTATTTTATCTCAAAATCTGAGCAATTCTGCACATAGTTTCCTCCTTCTGGGTGATGGTATCCAAAGCATAAACAAGAAAATCTGTGGTGGCCACTTCTTCAGCAATGGACATTAGCTTCTTTCCTATATGCAATTTTATAATTCCATTTTATGGAGACTACATTAGCACATACATATATGTGCTCATATACGTGTTTGCTCACATGTGCGAACCATTCCGTTAAGTGAGTTTCCTAAATGCTGTGGCAGGTCAAAAGACATAATCATTTTAAGTAGAAACTGCCAATTTTCTACCTACAAGGGTTTTTACTACTTACTCATTCACCCATTTATAGTATCATTTTTCTAGATATCCCTAACCCTGGATATAGCTATTTACAAAACTTCTGGTTTTGCAAAACTGATTATATATACACACACATACTACATACATATAAATATGTTAATCCCCAAATTGCTACTGAGCTGACCATCTTTGCACATATATATTACTTTATTTCATCATGTGACCTACCTATTTATTTATCCATGTTCCTAATGGTTTTGCTAGGCTTCTCCTTGTTTATTGTCATTCTTTTTAAAGCATGGATAGTAACCCCTGTTACTTATATTTTAAATATTCTCTTGCAGTTCCTTTATCCAAAAATGATGATAAATACATCTTGTTGAGGAAGCAGTCATGAGTACTATGTGATTTCCAGCTACTTTGCACATTTGTGCAACATGAGTTATCACCTTAAATAAAACTTTGGACACTTTTCAGAGGTCAGATAAGATTCAAAGAGAACTTCACATTCTCCCTCATCCCAAGAGGTGAGGGACTCAAGGAACCATCTGCATCTTGTAACCTGTGGTCTATGTCACTCTTGTTTGTGTGGCAACAGCCACTGTGAAACATACAGGCAATATTATGAACCACTAAATTTTGTTTTCAAATGAACTGAAAAGCCCAAAACATTAAAATTGCTGTCATCTTTCTGGGAGACAATGTGTTACCTGCCCTGTGGGAGCCCTGCCACAGGGCTCCAGCAGGTCCTGCCCACTTTTGGGCAAAGAGAATTTTTATGAGTGTTGAGCATGCCAGCTCCTCTCTGCCCTGCACAGAGGAGTGTGTTTTCAGGACAGGTCTGGAATGTCCCTGTCAGTGATCCCACATCTGGAGGGTCAGGCTTGTTAAGAGGCCACATGCAGGTGAGATGTAGAATCCAACCCCACTTTCCATCTGCCAAACCCTATCCATGGCTCCCCTGTCGCATCAATAACATTTTCAGGGATGGAAATGAGCCCAGAACTCATTGCTCAGGCTGTTCATACTATAGATACTGATGCTTGTAATTAGATAAACCATCAGAATGAACATGAAAAATCCCAATCATCAGTAATCACCATTATTAAGGTGAAGCTATTATGGGCTTATGGTAACAATTAGCCTAGAACAACTAGATAGTGACAATACTTTCACTTCTTTTGTTATCCACAAAAATACACAAGTTAGATTTATAAAGTAAGCCTTATACATACTCCATGAGCACCCA